TTCTACTACAACGATTGTGTTGTAGTTGTAGCCACCAGAGCCTTCTCAGCCTTAGTGGGTCATCCTTAGATTGAGTTATGCTCAATTTTATGACCTTTTTGCCGCTGTTAAGTGAATCTTACAGTTTGTAAATGCCCTAAAATAAGCAGATTATCTGGATTTTTATCAAATGGATTGATCACATCCAGGTATGGGGCAAAGTTTATAAATTGTAAGTTTCTCATAAGATTCAGGGAAGGGGTAAGTTGCTACAAGACGGCTTAATAGGAAGAGGAAAAGAAAGAAATGTTTTCCAATTTAATTGCACAAATTGAAGTGGCAGAGAAATGATATAGTAAGCTATTGCTCAATTGCTAAAACTCAGTCATTTATGCTCCTTAGTTTTCCACTCCTAAAATTTTTGTGCTTATTCAGAGTACTCGTATACATAAAAATACAACCACACACACTTATACATATGTATACACACACACACATACACACACACACACGGCCTATGGTGATGTTTCTGGAGATTTGTAGGTAAACCCCAGAAAAGTCTTGTTCTTATACCTACCCACAATAAAGAGAAATAAATTGCCACTTTTCCCATCAGATTCTCCCTTTCCTTCCCTGCCCTCCCCCCCACCCCCCCGCACATGACAATCTTAATCCCATCAGAACTTTCTTTCTAGTTTGGAGGATTGGTCCCTACATACTTGGCTTGCTAGATTCAGAAGACAGCAAATGAAATTGATATTAAAAAAATTGCAGGTATCCTTCAATTAATGACAGCAATAGGGACTGGGATTGCCATTGTTTAGCAACGTAGTTGGAAAGCATGATGTCACATGTCCACATCATTTAGCTATGGCAATTCTGACACTTCTGGCTGCTGGTGTTGTTAAGTGAACCCCACATGGTCCCCACAAGCAAAGCAAATGGGGAAGCCAGTGGAAGTTTTCCATTGTTTCTACTAATAAGAGTTTGGGGGAGGGGTCATATGTCCCACTGTTTTTATTATTTTGGGGAGGAAATGAAGTGTTTTTCTTACTTCACACATTTTGCATGTTTCACACCCTTCTTTTGGGTGTTGCCCACTATGAACACCTCAGCCTAAATTGCTATGTTTTTCGCAGTAGTGGATCAAGATGGATTCTACTCCATGCCATTTCTCCAAATCTATTCATCTGACTACAGGAGAGTGGTGGGTTTCAAATTTTTTTACTACCGGTTCTGTGGGCGTGGCTTGGTGGGCGTGGCATGGCTTGGTGGGTGTGGCTTGGTGGGTGTGGCAGGGGAAGGATACTGTAAAATCTCCATTCCCACCCCACTCCAGGGGAAGGATACTGCAAAATCCCCATTTCCTCCCAATCATCTGGGACTTGGGAGGCAGAGAATAGATGGGGGTGGGGCAAGTCAGAATTTTTACTACCGGTTCTCCAAACTACTCAAAATTTCCGCTACCGGTTCTCCAGAACTGGTCAGAACCTGCTGAAACCCACCTCTGGTACAGGAGACATACTGGCTGAAGCAGGAGACGGTGCCCCCACACCTTCTCCATGCATCCACTCTTCCATTCCTGTGATCTGTCATCTGGGCTACTTCTGAATGTGGGCTTACCTCTCCTTTGAAAAGAGCACTAAATTGATGTTCAAGAATTGCCCACTGACAATCATGGATGCAGGATGGCACACATGGGAATTCTGTACCTCCAGCCTCTTGGTGGGGGGTCAGGGAACTTGTGAGTTGCTTGCACATGCTTTGCAAGTATCTGTCTACTTTTCTCCATCCCCATCCTCATCTCACTACGTTTCAAGAGAATGATTGGGAAGCAATGCTTGGTGGGAGGACAAACAAAGAGGAATCCACCAACTTTCCTTTATTTGGGACGCTGTGGTGCAATGGTTAGAGTGCAGTACCGCAGGCTACTTCTGCTGACTGCCGGCTAATTTAGCAGTTCGAATCTCACCAGGCTTAAGGTTGACTCAGCAGCCTTCCATCCTTCTGAGGTTGGTAAAATGAGCACCCAGATTGTTGGGGAAAATATGCTGACTCTGTAAACCGCTTAGAGAGGGCTGAAAAGCAGTGTAAAGCAGTATATAAGTTTAAGTGCTATTGCTATTGCTATTTGTCCCAGATTAAAACTACAACATCACTTAGTGGCTCTAATAGGACAGTATGGATACCGCAACAGCAAATTCTGTGCTCAGGGACAGAAAAAATAGAAAAATCAGAAAAAGGGAGTTTTTGGAGAAGGTCCAGTTATGTGGGCTATCCTAAATACTTGTCGCTCTGTTAATTTACTTTATGTGTTTGCATGACAGAGCTCACCAGAGAAGGTTACACCCATAGCTGTTTGGAACTAAAATTAATTCTCTCTAACCCCAGCGCAAGGGCTGGGTGGCTGAATCTAGGCTGCAAGGATTCTGAGTGACCACTAGATGGCACCACAGAGTTAGAGTTTTCTACTGTGGACCAACTACTAAACTTTTAATGCAAATATGGCCTTCATTATTGCCACTGACACTGATGACATATGCAATTACAGGGTTTATATCTGTCCAAGAGGTTGACAGATTATTATGGTTTGGAAAAAGCTCCGTGCCCTGTTATTTTTTTAGACATCTTTGAAACCACAAATGTCCTGAGCTAGAGGCCATTCTCCACTTCTGATCTTGGAATACTTAGGGCAGTAAACCATTTCAGATTTTTTTTCAAATGTAATTGTACACAGCATTTGTTTGTCTAGTAACTGCTGGCTCCCCTTAGCCTGTTCATTTTATGACCTAGACATTTTATGACCTAAACCTGGATTCAAGTAAAGATACTGTATATAGAATGCATGTCTGCTTACAAGAATCAAAATGGTACCAAGGAATGGGTAACCACACAGAGAGGTCCATTTCTCTTGAACTTGCTTACCTGAATCATAAAGTGGATTTGCAGTGCGGATTCCCAGCTTCTGAGAAGAGCCTGGGTTGCCAACTCTTATTATCCATTTCTGAAATGTCCAGCAAACTGCAAGAAAAAGAAAAGGGCAGAGCGATCTTGTGTTAATGGATTCCAGCCTAATGCAGGAGGATTCCGATAAAAAGGAGTGCTAGTCAAGATGCAACCCTTAGGCAGACAGTATATTATGTCATTGTTTAGTTTGCTTGGCAAGTTTTTAACCCTATGTTAATCTCTCAGAGTCACTTGGTGAGATGGACAGGCATCTAAATAGAATGAATGAATGAATGAATGAATGAATGAATGAATGAATGAATGAATGAATGAATGAATGTTTTCTAATGCAGAAGTCCAATTTGTTGGAGGTTTGATGCAAATCAGTAGCCAGAGGTGAAGCCAAAACAAAATATGAGGAGTGTCTCCAATTCTCTGTCTTGTAGATGCCCCATATTTCTATACCCACAGTTGTCTTTTTCTTTCTGACACCTTCTTTTTCTCTGTCCAGAAAACTCCATAGGAAAGAACGACCTTTGACTCCCATAGGTGTTAGAGAAAAGGTACTTTTACTAGAGATGCTGAGTGCAGCGTGGATGAGGCAAGCTCTGAGGAAAAACCATGCAAAAATCATACATTGAAAGCAATCCTCAATGTCCAAAACTCTCCCCCCCCTGGGAGAGCAGTCCAATCAGGTCTCGTTCTGATGTTTTGGGAATTCGGTGCCTCAGGCACCAGTGCAAATCCATTTCCCAGGACTGGCATCCTTGAAGGTCGGCAGATGGCTCAGTTTGGCACCTCTGGTTCCAGTTAGTGTCCATACTCCCCTATTTCCTGTAGCATTCAGACCACGAGCAGCATGAGGGTGTATACACTGCTACTGGAGATGAGGCAGTGATGTCACTATAGGATTATCAATTGCACCAGGTGGTTCTGAGGCAACCAGGTTCCATCCCTTTGGAAAGCATTTTAAACAATAATCTTTTAAACTACATAATAATACTCTGGGTGGCTCTAAGCTCACATATTCACAAAACCACATAGGTATTGCTGGTTCTCAACTAACAACCACAATGATGCAAAATTGCTAAGTGAGGAAGTTGTTCATAGAGTTTTGCCCCATTTTAGGCTATTTTGTCACCACATTTGTTAAGTGAATCACTGCAATTGGTAAATGAATCTTGTGGTCATTAAAGGAATCTGACTTTCCCCATTGACTTTTTTTTTTTTTAATTTGATTGATTTTTTTAATTTTTAATTTTTTTAATTTGATTTATATGCCGCCCTTCTCCGGAGACTCAGGGCGGCTTACAAGGCGTTAAGCAATAGCCTTCATCCTTTTGTATATTTATACAAAGTCAGCTTATTGCCCCCAGAATCTGGGTCCTGTTTTCACCTACCTTTGAAAGGATGGAAGGCTGAGTCAACCTTGAGCCTGGTGAGATTTGAACTCGCAGTAATTGCAGGCAGCTGGATGTTAAATGCTGCCTTAGGAGGCATTAGTCTCCTACACCACTCAGGCTCCTTATGGGGCAAAACCAGAGGTGAAATCCAGCAGGTTCTGACAGGTTCTGGAGAACCGGTAGCAGAAATTTTGAGTAGTTTGGAGAACCAGCAGAGGAAATTTTGAGTAGTTCAGAGAACTGGCAAATGCCACCTCTGGCTGGCCCCAGAGTGGGGTGGGAATGGAGATTTTGCAATATCCTTCCCCTGCCACTCCCACCAAACCACACCCACAGAACCGGTAGTAAAAAAAAAATTGGATTTCACCAACAACCGTGTTGCTAACTTAACAACCGCAGTGATTCATTTAACAACTGTGGCAAGAGAGGTCATAAAATGCTGCAAAACTCGCTTAACAACTGTCTCGCTTAGCAATGGAAATTTTGAGCTCAATCGTGATCATTATTGGAGGATAACCTATATTAGTGACAATTCCTTCAGGGCACTTTTTAATCTTTGAATAAACACAAGTTGTTGTTTTTTTTAATTTGATTTATATGCCGCCCTTCTCCGGAGACTCAGGGCGGCTTACAATGTGCTCAGCAATAAGTTCTCTGCTTCATGTATTTCAGAAGGCATCAGGTTTATAGAGAAGAGCGCAACCTAACCGTGGGTTCAGTGGTTCAGCTCAGACACGAGGCAAGCTGGTTTCAGTTCCACCTGGGGATCAATCGCCATGCCTTGTATCCACGGGCCAGCTCTATGGTGGATCAACTCCTTAGGGACACACAGAAGTTTAGTACTATCAGTGCTGGTAAGTAATGCTTTGAATCCTTCTTAAAGGAGGGCTGAAATAAAAGGAAATGACAGAATAACAGAGTGGGAAGGGACCTTGGAGGTCTTCTAATGACTAGTCCAACCCCCTACACAAGCAGGAGACTTTATGTACCATTCTATCCAGAAGAAGAGACTGTCCAGTCTCTTCTTAAAAGCCTCCAATGATGCCCCCACAACTTTGAAAGGCAAAGCCATTCCACTGGTTAATTGTTTTCATTGTTAGGAAATTTCTAAATTTCACTATTAGGAAATATTAGGCTACAAAATCTGGGACGCAAAATTAATCCAGATGACCACTAGGATGCATGAAAAGTTAGGACCTCTAGAAGTCAGCCACATAAAGTTCATATTCTTGAGCTTCATGCCCAGATCACATATAGGGCTGCAAATCAATTATGAATAGTTAATTTCTTGGGACACCAACTTGCCTCCCATAGGTTCAGAAGACTTCGGGTGTTTTAATTACACATAAATGTAGTTAAACAATCTTAATTGTTGTCCTGATCCCATCAGCAGGGCAGGGCCAGGGAGACAAGTCATGGCACATTTGTCTGTTGTGGCCCGCCGGCAGACAATGAAGCTGGCAGCAGAGTCAGACAGTGAGGAGGTTGGGGAGGAACGTGGGCCAGTCATGGGGGCTGGGGAAAGCTCGGACGAAGGCTCTGCATTGGAGGCAGAGAGGGAGATATACAGCAGTGAAGCAGAGGAATAGCTGGAGCTCGTTCCCAGTGTGCGCATGCGCAGAGCTGCCAGAAGACAAGAACAATTCAGAAAGTAGGGTCGACTTGGGAGTAAAGCCACACCTTAGAGATGATTGGCCCCTCCCATAGGAAACAAAAGAGGAGCGAACAGGGAGGAGGTTTTTGCAGGAAACAATTCGTTCGGTAGTTTCAAGAGTGAAAAATTCTGTTCGTGACTCTAAGAGACTCTGTGCCAAGTTTTGCCTTACCCTGTGTTTGGAAACAAGTTACGTGGCAGCTTGAAGCCAAGCAAGATAAGGTGTGTTGAGGAATATTCCTTTGAAAAACTGTTTGGACAAACCTTGCTGACTGTGAATGAAAGTAATTCACAGTCGTGTAAACAAAAGAGGTTTTGCAGGGACCAGTTCCTGCTTCCTGCTTTTTAAGGGAGCCTAGTTCAGAACATGGTCATGACACAATCACACAAGTGATGTACTGTACACCGTTGCCTTCGTGATATCACTGACATGAATTTACGAATTAAAAATTATTTGTATGATGATGTCATCGGGTACATGCAAATCATTGTGATTTCTCCCAGATATCTGTGCCCCTCCCTGCTCTTTGGAGAGCGATACCCAAGACAACGTTCAAGTAAAGGGCTTTCAGTCTGAAGAAAAGCAATGTACTCCAATCTACAAGTAGTCCTTAACTTACAACAGTTCATTTAGTGACTATTCAAAATTACAACAGCATTTTAAAAAGTGTCTTATGACTATTTTTCACACTTACGACCATTGCAGCTTCCACATGGTCACATGATTTACATTTGGTTGCTTGACAACTGATTCATATTTATGACGGTTGCAATGTCCCATCCTGGGGTCACGTGATCCCTTTTTGCGACCTTCTGACAAGCAAAGTCAATGGAGAAACCAGATTTGCTTAACAACCGCATTACTAACTTAACCACTGCAGTGATTCACTTAACAAACTTAACACTTAACAAACGTGGCAAGAAAAGTCGTAAAATGGGACAAAACTCACTTAACAAATTTCTCATGTAGCAACATAAATGCTGGGCTCAATTGTGGTCGTAAGTCGAGGACTACCTGTATTTGAAGAAGACTGACTTAATTCTCACAGCGGGAACCTCTGTTCTTGTAAAGGAGCAAACACTTCAGTAGTGGGTTCCTCTGATTTTTATTCCTTTTCAAAAAAAAAGCATTGAATAGCATTAAACAAAAGGAAGCACACAATCAGAAGGGAACTGTGTAAGGGAATCTGTTCAAAAAGAAATTGAGAGTTCAGTTGGAAAAAGCAGGAAGAAAGAGAATTTCTTGGAAGGGAAAATTCTGACTGGGAAACCTTTCTACCCCACACTGGTTTCCCTACTCTTCCCATTGTAGCACAGGGAGTCCCCCGACTTACAGCTATTCATTCAGCAAGTGTTCAAAGTTACAACGTCACTGGAAACAAAGTGACTTACAACCAGTCCTCACACTTACAACCACTATAGAATCTCCACAGTCACACCACTGGTGGGTTCCTCCCGGTTCGGCCCGGTTCTACCGAGCCGGTAGCGGTGACGATATGATATCACCAAACCAGTTCTGCCGCCCCCGCATTATTCTTATCTTTTATTTGGCCCCACCCCCAATCTATTGCTGCCATCTGAGTCTCAGCTGATCGGCTAGAAGGAAAAAAACTGTTTAAACTCTTGCCGCGGGGATTCAAAGGGCCGCCCTACAGCTGATCAGTGTTAAAAGGCAGTGTGGTGGTAGACCGATGTCTGCAAAAACAAATGGATAGACCGGTACAGCTCTGCAAGCAGTTAAAAGCCTGGTAGACCAGTACCTCTGCTAAATCCTAAAGAATTGTCACATGACCATCAAGCCACACCCACAAAATAAGCCATGCCCACAGAACCGGTAGTAAAAAAAATTAGAACCCACCCCTGAGTCACACGATCAAAATTCGGGTGCTTGGTCACTGGCAGAGATTTGCCACGGCAGCAGCATCCCAGGGGTTATGTAATCGCCATTTGTCACCTTCCCAGCCGACTTCCAACAAGCAAAGAGAATGGGGGAAGCCAGATTTGTTTAATGACCACATGATACACTGAACAACTGCAGTGATTCACTTAACAGCCACGGCAAAAAGGTTGTAAAATTGGGCACAACTCACTTTGACAACCGCCTTGGTTAGCAACAGGAATTCTGGTCCCATTTGTAGTCATAAGTCGGGGACTACCTGTATGTGTGTTGGGGAGGGGGGGCAGTGGTAGAAATGATTGGCTATAATAGAACCCTACTAAGCAGGTATATACAAAAGTATGAAGGCTATTGCTTAATGCATTGTAAGCCTCCCTGAGTCTCCGGAGAAGGGCGGCATATAAATCGAACTAATAAAATAAATAAATAAACCTTCTTTGCTGGTTTTTACTTGCAGTGAAACCTGAATGTTTCCCACAGGAAATGTCTTTGGGGAATTTGGGAGAAGCCACAATGATGTCGTGCTCCTGATGACATCATCATACAAATAATTTGTAATTCAGAAACTCATTCATTCATTGATTGATTGATTCATTCATTCATTCATCCATCCATCCATTCATATATATTCTGCCTTTATTATTTTCACAAATAACTCAAGGCAGCAAATACATCCAACACACCTTCCTCCTATTTTCCCCACAGCAACAACCCTGTGAGGTAAGTTAGACTGAAAGAGCAGGACTGGCCCAAAGTCACTCAGCCAGCTTTCAGGCCAAAAGCGGGACTAGACCTCCCAGTTTCCTGCTTCCTAGCCTGGTGCCTTAACCACCAGACCAAACTAGTTCTCATAAACTCATATTAGCGACGCCATGATTTCTTTTTGCCAGCTGGTCCTATTGTTCTCCTTTGGTCCCTTTCACCGATCCCCCTTTCCGCTCTTAATCCTGCTGTTAGCAGAACATTCCCCTGCCTTCTACCTTCTACCTCCCTTCCTTGTAAGAAAACTTCCCAAGGTTTTCTTTTTCATTCCAGATTACAGCCAGGATGAGAAAGCTTTGCTCGGGGCCTGTGACTGCTCCCAAAGTAGGTGAAATGCTATTCTATCTGCTACGGCTTTTTGACCAAAATGTCACAGGAGTCCTTTTGGCGGTGGGGCTGATGGAGTTCTATTAACGAGATGTATGAGCCAAGTCCTTAGTGTTACCCTTGGGCTTTATTTAGGGCTCTGTCTCACCCAGCCCTAAATGCTTAAAGGCAACTCTAGCGCTGTGGTGTAATTTCCCTTTGGAGTTGAACGGCTATTAAAAGGTTTGCTGTGCATTTGTTGAACCGGTATCAGTATCTCTTCCTGACCTTGAACTGGATCCAAAGAGGCACCGAGATTTGAGAGAAATCTGCCGGGAGGGAGGGAGGGAGGAAGGAAGGAAGGAAGGACATTCCTTCATCCTTGATCCCCTCCTCAAGGAGATACAAGCCTCCTCATCCTGCTCTCAGACTTCCCTCACCTCTATAACAGTCTGTCAAGAAGTACAAAGATGACAGGCAGAAAGAGAGAGATTAAGAAAATGGCTGTCTCTCTTCCGTGTCCCAGCAGAAATGTTGCTCTTGCTAAATTGACCCAGCTCACTTTGAACCCTGCATTTCCCAGCTGGATCGATGACGGTGAATCCTGGATTCCTTTAAATATTTAAATACAGGCAGTCCTCGTCTTACAACGATTCATTCAGTGGCCATTCAAAGTTACACCGGCACTGAAAAAAAGTGACTCATTTGTTCATTTGTCACACTTATGACCATTGCAGCATCCCTGTGGTCATGTGATCACAATTTGGACGCCTGGCAACTGACTCATATTTATGACCGTTGCTGTATCCCAGGGTCAAGTGATCACCTTTTGACAAGCAACGTCAATGGGGAAGCCAGATTCACTTAACAACTTACAGTTAACCACTTACAGTTGGTAAGATTCACTTACTAACTGAACAATTGCAGTGAGTCACTTAACAGTGGCGGCAAGAGAGGTCATAAAACTCCATAAATGCCTTGCTTAGCACAGTACATTTTGGACTCTGTTGTGGTCCTAAGTCGAGGACTACCTGTACATGGGTAGAAATCAATCACTTCTGTTGGGACTAAAAGCAACCCACAGCTGCTTTTCAGGTGTTTAAAATGCTTGCTTTTATATCAAAAGAAGCACATTCAGGCAACAAACCTCTTCCCAAATGAGTTAAATTGGTAAAAACGAAAGTAAAGGCTCTCTCAGGTCAAGGTCAACTCCTGGGGACTGCATGAATCCCCCTTGGCAATAGTGTGGAAGTGGTATTCATGGCCTCCCTCCAGATCATTTTTGACTAGCCAGCAGATTTGGGACTTCCTTGGGTCTCCTACTGATTTCCAGACAAGAAAAGAAAGGAAAAGAGATAGCTTTCTATAGCGAACTAGATATTGATCTTCATATACCACACCCCTTAAGGTGTTAGAAGCCCATTCCAATTCTTTCTTAAGGCAGATATTATGTTTCCTGTGGGTTTTGACATTTGAACAAGGAGCTGAATCTCTCTTCATTTCTTAGTTGTAAAGCCCAGTGGGGTGCACCTGAAACTTGTTTTGCGTTTCCAAGACTTCGGGAAAGCCATGTTCAAACCAATGAGGTAAGCTTGCTTCACTTGAAAATGGCCTGAATCTTTTTCACTAAAGCATTTTTAGCAAAGCTATAGATGTTGTGCAGATAAGGAGGAGAAGGAGCAAGGGTTCGAATTGTGTGGGGTTTTTTGTGGTGGTAGGTAGAGTGATGATTTTTTAAAAAAATACCCTTTAGGACTTACACCATACTGTACTTCTCATGTTTTCCCACCTCGGCATGTCCATAAATTGTGCTGCTGGTTTTCAGCAATTCTGTGGAAAGAACAAAGCCCACAAGAGGTATTGGAAGCTGCATCCTGTACAACCAAAGTTGAAACCGCAGTGAAAGGTAAATGTTGTGCCCCAAAGCTGCTTTCTTTCAAAAGACAACTGGACTTTCTTGTTTTGCTTGAAGACATTTTGCTTTTCATCCAAGAAGCTTCTTCAGTTCTGTCCGAATGGTGAAGAATGAAAGGATTTATATTCCTTGCAGGAAGGATGGAAAATGGCTTGACTCCACCACTCAGTCAGAACTGAAGAAGCTTCTTGGATGAGAAACGAAATGTCTTCAAGCAAAACAAGAACGTCCAGTTGCATTTTGAAAGAACGCACCTTTGGGACAATCATGACCTGGTCAACTGAGAATTTCCATAGACATTTAGCTAATGTACAAAGATTTTGAAGGGGATTCAGAATGAATATACAAGAAGACACCTAGAAGTTGCTGGTTGACTAACTGCCAACTGGGTGTGACTACATACATCCTTTAAAAATTATGGAAAGAATAAAGAGCAGATGTGAGATGAGGCAGACCAGGGCAGTGTAGCAAAAGAGGGAGTTATTCTGACTGTTTGTTCTGTTGTCCTGATCCCAGCTGGGATCTAAATCTCCCAACTGATCCCTTTTGACCTGAATAGCAACTTTCCTTCTCAACTAGGCAAACAGGCTAACTTGGTCAAAATCACATTAGGAGGGCAACAGAAGAAAGTTCCCATAGTGTAAGGAGTGAGCAACTTTACGATCTGTGGACTTCAATTTCCAGAATTCCTGAACCAGCCATGCTCAATTCCCATGCCGGTTCAGGAATTCCAGGGAGTTGAAGTCCATAGGTTGTAAAGTTGCCAGAGTTATGCACTCCTGCCATAATTGGACCCCAATTCCATAGCATGACTATTTAGTCTTCTCAATGATTATTTAAACATATTGGTGGTGTTGGTTAGTTTGAGCATGAGACTCAAAGAACACAAAGGAACCCAAAAGATCTGAGCCACTGCAAAGCAGAAAGAGATGAAAGGAAACCTTCTTTCATTCTAGCTACTGTCAAATACTTTTCGTAGTCTCAGAAATATATGTTGTTTTACACACAATCTCTTTCCTGTTAATTACCTGGACCTTTCTTTCAGACAGAAACGAGATGAGGAGACTCCGGAAGATTTTTTTTACTTTGTTGACTTTCAGCGACACAATGCAGAGATTGCTGCCTTCCACCTAGACAGGTAATTCCCAAGTGTTAATTACCTGCTGAGTTATTTGTCTAGAAAGGAGCTTGACTGCAGCTTTAGAGGGATGAGGCAAAAAGGTGCAGTAGACCCAACTGTGTGAGCATTGAGGGTAGGTATCAGCCTTTACTCATAGCATAGGCCGCAAATTTTAAAGCCGTTCACATCATTATGGAATGAATGTTCTGCTCTTATTTATTTATTTATTTTATTTTATTTTATTTATATACCGCCCTTCTCCCGAAGGACTCAGGGCGGTGAACAGCCATAATAAAACAGTGTACAAAATAGAATTTAAAAGCAGATTAAAATAATTAAATCATAGGCCAAATTTAAAACTCTCATTTAAAACCAATTTTAAAACCCCATTAAAACCAAATTAAAACCATTTATCCCATCAGAGCGGCTTGCTGGAATAACAGGGTCTTCACTGCACGATGGAAGGCGCGGAGGTCGGGGATCCTTCGTATGTCTGGGGGCAATTCATTCCAGAGGACAGGGGCCCCCACAGAGAAGGCTCTCCCTCTGGGGGTCACCAGTCTACATTGCTTGGCTGACGGCACCCTGAGGAGGCCCTCTCTGTGTGAGTGTACCGGTCGGTGGGAGGCAATCGGTGGCAGAATGCAGTCTTGTAGATAGCCAGGTCCTAAGCCATGGAGCGTTTTAAAGGTCGTAACCAACACCTTGAAGTGCACCCGGAAGACCACCGGGAGCCAGTGCAGCTCGCGCAAGAGAGGTGTTACATGGGAGCGACGGTCGCCCCCATTATTACTTGCACGGCCGCATTCTGGACCAGTTGGAGCCTCTGGGTGCTCCTCAAGGGGAGCCTCATGTAGAGAGCGTTACAATAGTCCAGACGGGAAGTGATGAGGGCGTGAGTGACTGTGCGCAAGGCGTCCTGATCCAGAAAGGGGCGCAACTGGGAAATCAGGCGAACCTGATAAAAAGCCCCCCTGGCCACGGCCGTCATATGATCATCCAAAGACAGCCGTGAGTCCAGGAGGATGCCCAAGCTGCAAGCCCTCTCTGAGGGGGGTAAGATCTCATCCCCAATAGTCAGCGATGGTGTAAGCTGGTTATATCGGGACGCCGGAAACCACAGCCACTCAGTCTTGGAGGGTTGAGTCTGAGCCTGTTCCTCCCCATCCAGATCCGCATGGCCTCCAGGCAATGGGACATCACGTCAAGGGCATCATTGGGGTAGCCTGGGGTTGAAACGTACAAGTGCATGACATCGGCATACAGTTGACACTTCACCCCAAAGCCACGGATGATCTCGCCCAGTGGCTTCACATAAATGTTAAACAGGTCTTCCCTTTCAGCCATTAAAATCTTTAAGGGTCACCAGAATATATACTGATAGAGGAAAAAATTGTATTATTGGGGAGAACTATCATTCAGGACAGAAATTATATTCTGTATAGAGTCCTTGATTCACAGCCATAATTGAGCTCAGAATTATGGTCATAAGTCATGCTGGTTGTTATGTGGGTCTCCGTGTGACTCTGCCTGATTTTACAACCTTTTGGCTGCTATTGTTAAATGAACACAGCATTTGTAAAGTGAATGCTACATTTGTTAAGTAAATCCATTGTCCTCAATGGGCATTTTTTGAAATTGGAAGCAGGCACCAGTTTCCAACAAAACAAATGTTGTAAATTGTGGTCATGTGACTGCAGGATGCTGTAAACAGCCATAAATGCAGGCTGCTTATTGAGTGCCGAAAACATGATCATGTGACCAGGGGTGAAATGTAAAATCTGTTACTACCAGTTCTGTGGGTGTGGCTTGGTGGTGGTGGGGTAATGTGACTGGGTGGGCTTGGCCAACTTTTTTTTTTTTTTTAACTTTTCAAAGCATTTTTTTTAATGCTTTGAAAAGCCTCTCTGCCGATCAGGAACTCAGCTGAGATCGTCAGAGAGGCTCTTTAAAAAAATGCCCCTCTGCCGATCAGGGAACTGAGCTGGGATTGTCAGAGACTTTTCAAAGCATTTTTTTTTACTACCTCTTCGGCCAAGAGATTGCAGAAAAAAATGCTTTGAAAAGCCTCTGATGATCCCAGCTAAGCCTTGCGATCATCAGAGGCTTTTTTTTTTACTTTTAAAAGTATTTTTTCATCGGAAGAGGTTGTAGAAAAAATGCTTTTAAAAATAATTTTTAAAAAAGCCTCTGATGATCATGCGGCTCAGCTGGGCATGGGGTGGGGGGGCAGGGATTTTTGCTACCGGTTCTCTGAACCACCTGCCGCCATCGCTACCGGATCAAGCGATCCGGTCCGAACCGGGAGCATTTCACCCCTGCATGTGACCCCAGGAGGGGAACAGCCCAGGGCCATTGGAACTTTGAATACGAGTCATAAGTAGCTTTGGGGGAGTCCATTGCTAAGCGACTGGTCATAAATTAAGAGCTATCTGGAAAGGATTTACAGGCTTAATTTCCTCTCTTTCCAGATAGGGCTTGACTAAAACCTTCAAGAACCAATGCTGATTAGTCTAGATCTGGGGTGACAAATCTGTAACCCTCCAAGTTGCTATATTTCCGAACATCCCTCATCTTTAGCCAAGCTGAGGGGACTACTGGAAGTCGTAGTTCATCCACATTGGGAGTTTGCTGACTCCTATTGCTGATATAACTACATTCTCCTAGTGAATTATGATGTCTTCCCTGGAGAGCTGAGGGAAAAAATAAGCAGGGAATATAGTAGTTTCCTCATCATTTCGTGCTCAGCATGATTTTTGATGATTGATTTGTGTTCTCTGGCCATCTTTAAGTGCAGTGCAGGAAAGAGCATGTGAAATGAGAAAAATTGTGGTAGCCTATGATCTAAGTAAGCATGGGGCTGTAATAGAAAGGGAAATACAATTTCCTGATAGTTTTATACTCCAGCTCTTTCTTCTAAAACATTGTGCAGACAGTTTCCATAGACATTCATTTTACCTTTATTTACATTGATTATATTCTAATTTCTTCGATTGTTGGGAACTGCCCATAGTCTTTCAGCATGCAAGTTTAATAGGTAATTAATAAATTACTATTAGTTATTTGAAAGGTCATTTCATGCTTCAGGTCATCCCAACTTTCTAGAACGTAATAGGTTATATCATACTTTCTGCAAGCGGCTTTCCTGCTATTCTCCTCCATATCTCCCCTAATTTAGAAGGAACCTGTTCTATTACCGTGTTTCCCCAAAAATAAGATCCTGTCTTATATATTTTTTTAACCCTGAAATAAGTGCTTCGCCTTATTGCCATGCGCTCAAAAGCCTAATTGGGCTTATTATCAGGGGATGTCTTATTTGGGGGGAAACAGGGTAGCAGATCCCACCCCACAAGTGGATAAACAACCACTAGATACAACCCACTGCATATTCATAGTTCACATGTTACAAATAACATTTAACAAAGGGGAAATTTGATACTGCCGCAAGCTGCCTAAGTCTTATTTATTTGTTTGCTTGTTTATCAAGTTTAGAAATCTCTCTCTTATCTATCTATCTATCTATCTATCTATCTATCTATCTATCTATCTATCTACTATCTATCTTATTTAGAAACTGCCTATCTCCTTCACAGAGAGACTGGGCAGTGTACAAGTAAAATATAAAAATATAAAAACTGTATATAAAATTATGTAAAGGACGAAGAAAGTTAAAATTTAGAATTAAAAGGTGGGGGGAAGGTTCTCAGGATGCTACCAGCCCCATGGCTGCGAGGCCCAAGGAAGATGGCAAAACCAGGTGTTTACACATTTCCAAAAGGCCAGGAAAGTGAAGTGTTTGTTTGTTCGTTTGTTTATCAAATTCTTGATAACTCTTGCATCTGTTTCCCACCTAGCTGCTTGTGTTATATTAGCACGTCATTCGGAGCTCTCTTAAACTCCCTTTTTTTCTGCTTGTGATGCATCTGGCAGGTCTGGTGGTAGATCACGCTTGGTTTGATGCATCTGGAGTCCTGATCAAGATCCAAATCTATGCTTTATTTGTGTTTTTATTCTGCAAACAGCAGGCTGAAAAAGCCAATTCTTGAGGGCATTTTAAGAAGCTTCTGTGCCATTATTACTATTAGTCAGTCTGCTTGGCAGTTACTGACTCACTAACCAAATATCATCTTGTTTTGCTGACAAAAAAAAAAAAAAGAACACCAGACCCTAGAGCATCCTTTGCAAAGCTATATGGTATGAATCAGCCCAAACAGTAGAAATATCTCCTACGTCTCAGCATTTACAAGTTGGGGCAGTATTCTTGCTGGCATCTAGCATTTCACTTCAGCCATCCATCAAATGTCTTAATGAATTGCTTAAGTGGTGGGGAGAACAAAACAGCAGAATGCAAGGTTGTGAAGGATTGTAATAAACTCCCCCCTTGTGTAATTAAAGCTATTACAGGATGAATAAACGAGGTCTTGCTTAGATCCGGGTAACTGTAGTTAAATATCAGCATCAGCTACTGACAAAGGAGAGTATTTGTGACTCAGGGTTGAAATGAGGAGTCCTTGGTGCTCTCTGAGCTCCGTTGCTTTCTTGCAGACATTTCATTACCCAGTGGCTGGCACTGATGATGTTATCTAATTTGGGTAATGAAATGTCTGCAAGAAAACAACCAAGTTCAGAGAGCTCCAAAGACCTCTCAGTATTAGCAGCTACCAATGTGAACACTCTGATGGCATATGACATAAAATCCTCTTTGTTTGAGCTATGAATGTTGTACCATGCTATTCCTTTCTTTGGATAATTTGTATAATTCCAGACCTTTTAGATAATAATAATAACTTTATTGTCATTGTACCTGTATACACAGTATACCCATACAACGAAATTAACTTAACACCCAAAGACCAGGTCCATAACAATCCCCAAACATACCCCCACCCACCACAAATTCCCCACCCCTAAACCACCCAAACATCCACACAACAGACCAAGTAATGCTGTCCAACAGCTCACTGATGGTGGCCCTTTAGTTCATTGTTGAGTGCAATTATAGCTCTGGGATAAAAACTATTCAGAAAACGTGTGGTACGAGTTTTAATTGTTCTGTATCTTCTGCCAGAAAGCAACAGTCCAAAAAGATTGTAAGCAGGATGGGAAGAGTCTCTGAGAATGTTATGCAACTTCCTCAAACAGCGAGATTCGAAGATGTCATCCAGGGCTGGTAGCTGGAGCCCGATGATATTCTGGGCAGTTTTAATGATTCTCTGTAGAGCTTTTTTGTCCGCTACAGAGCTGCTCCCATTCCATGCAAGAACGCCGTATGTCAGGACACTCTCAATGGTGCTGTGATAGTACGACAGAAGTAGATGCTGAGATAGATTTATCTTCCAGATAACATGCTTAATTTGTGATTCTAATGGGAAGAAGGACAAAACGGTCCAGCGTGAATAGAAGTGTTACATTTCAGAAGATATAATTTTATTTCTATTTATTTGTTAATTTTTTATGCTGCCCATCCCTCCTATAAAGTGACCATAATAGGTTAGAATAGCTGCTCTTGATGAAATGTCTCCATCTGTGCTATTGTTAAAGATCAAAATGTTTTAATTCTCCTGGTGTCAAGGCAGTTCAGTCAAGCTATATCCCTGGAAATCCTTGCAACAGAAGAAATTGGCTTATGATGAATCAGAGCAATTGAGTATCCAGCTTTGCTTTTCTCAATGTATTCTGCAAATGTATGGGGACTATAATTCTTAGACTACTCAGAATGTTTCAAAATTCTGAGATGCATTCTTAGAGTATCATGCCAATAAGAAGGCATTTCTCAAGCAGTGCAGGCTGAGGAATTCTGGGAGTTGAAGTCCAGACATCTTAAAATGGCCAGGGTTAACACTGCAGTAGGGTATCCAATGAGGATAAAGTTAAGTTCAATTTGGCTCATTGGCCTTTGCCAGCCTGGTACTTCAGTGCTCACCATTCTTCTGATGAGAACAACTCTAAGATTTCACCTTCCCTGGGATTAAAACATGGCTCCTTTGCCTACAGTACATGAGCTTCTTCACTGACATACCATGGAAAGCTCTTATTGGGAGACATTTAACTAATTTACTACTGTAACACACCATCCTTGCTTGCAGAATCGTGTCAATATCCAGCTTCAGAACAAGAAGGGCCCACATTGAACCAACAAGTCCCACATTCTGATCAAGATACAAAAGATACTATATTTTCAGCCTTCTTTAGAGTTATGTATTTGGCTTCATCTTACCCTCTTTTTGTTTTCACAAGGACTACTTAGTTGCTCTGAATTTTCCTGAAACTTGCCATTTTCTAGCTGGCTAGGAATCTGACAGAAGCCCCATCAAGGAAATTAAATGGGCACAGTCTTCTCCATCAACTTAGATGACTTTCTTGTCCAATTTGCAGGATTCTTACTCTGAATACTTGCAGAAAAATTAATCTAACCCAAATTTAACTGGCAGCGCATTGTAAGCCAACAGGCCTGGCCATCCTCAACTGGCAGCCTATATACTCAGAACACAGTCATGTTCTATAGACTTTTCTGTGAAGCACAGACAACCTTCAAAAAATGTTGTGAGAACAACATGGAAAGTAAACTTTCTCCATGTGGGAAATTGCTATGGATTATACCATCACAATGGCAGATTAAACTAACAAAAATCTTATGCTAAAGTTTACAAAATCTAATGGAGACATAGACCAGATTCAATTTAACAAAAAGGAGATCTCTTTCTTTGCATTGATCTGAGCGATACATTTTGCCCTTTGCAGAATCCTGGATTTCCGTCGCGTCCCTCCAGCAGCTGGGAGAATGATTAACGTCACAAAAGAAATTTTAGAAATTACAAAGAATGAAATCTTACAAAGCGTCTTTTTTATTTCCCCAGGTAAGATTGTTTCATAGATTTATATTCAGTCTTTTTACTTCAGTGAGTATTCAAAATGGCTAGCAACATTTTTTAAAAAAACAAAAATAATATAAACAGTTGAAAACATGAAATAAATTAAATTAAGAACTATAATCAGTTTACAATAAAATTCCTGGTGAAAGAGCAGCTGGTTTTTCACAGGTTTTCTGAACTGTAAAGATTTACATGGAGCCAAATGGTATAGTAGTAACTAGCGTATGAAGGGGATCTAGCTATCCTAGTGGATCACCACTTAACTATGAGCCAGCAGTGTGCTGCAGCTGCTGAATGAGCCAATGTAGTCCTAGGTTGCATCAACAGAGAGAAGTGTTCAAGATCACGAAAAGTAATAGTACTACTAGAGCTGTAGTGGTGCAGTGGTTAGAATGTAGTACTGCAGGCTAAGAGTGCTGACTGATGATTGCCAGCAGTTCGGCAATTCAATTCTCACCTGCTTAAGGTTGACTCAGCCTTCCACCCTTCCAAAGTCAGTAAAATGAGGACCCAAATTGTTGGGGACAATATGCTGACTCTGTAAACTGCTTAGAGAGGGCTGTAAAGCACTGGGAAGTGGTATATAAGTCTAAGTGCTAAGTGCTACTTTATACTTCACTAATGAGGCCACACTTGGAATACTGTGTCCAGTTCTGGTTACCACAATACAAGAAGGATGTTGAGACTCTAGAAAGAGTGCAGAGAAGAACAACAAAGATGAGGAGGAGTCTGGAAGCTAAACTGTATGATGAACAGTTAAGGAAATTAGGTATGTCTCTAGCCTAAAGAAGCGAAGGATTAAGGATGACATGAAAGCTGTCTTTCAGGACTTGGGGGATAGTCACAGAGAAGGGATTGACTTATTCTCCAAAACACCTGAAGGCAGAACCAAGAAGTAATGTAAAGAGAGAACCAACCTGAAACTAAAAAGAAATTTCCTGACAGTAAGAACCATTAATCAGTGGAATGGCTTGGCTCCTGAAATTGTGGGTGCTGCATCGCTCAAGGTCTTCAAGAAGAGGTTGGACAGCCATTTGTCTGGTGTGGTATAAGGTTTCCTGCTTTACTCAAGTTGTAAGATACATTTCATATTCTGGAAATTGTAGAGTAGAAGGCCTGCTCCAATATTCTAGGAAGATGAATCTGGGACAGTGGAGGCGTCTTTCAAAGTTTCCTTAAATAGTCATGCCATAAGCTATTTATGACTTGAAAGCACAATGGCAGCACCTTAAATTGAGATGTTCAAGTTATATCCACCTCTTCAGATAAGAAACGCACTTCTGTACCCCACTTCAGTATGAATAAAACTAATTATTCTATTGGGGTTAGAGATGGACAAGAAGAAATGCTTTGCCTACTAAAGAGGTGCCACTTTCGACACCCTCATGATTGAGAGTTACTTTTTTTTCCAAGCACAGCTGGTGAATTGGTTCTCTTCAGATTTTCTTTCACCACACAACAATCTAAGAATTTAAAATAATAGATAAAAAATACTCAACTTCAATGTAGTAACAGTCAAACTTTGACAGCCATTCTAAAAGTTGTGGACAGACAACCCAGAGGTCACTATCCATTGTGATTGTGAGGTGTTTTGACAGAGGGCTATACCGATAAGATTCTTTCAAAATTTGCTCCAGGCCTTGTTTTCCACTTTGTATGACCAAGATTGCTCCAGGTTTAGCCAGGCAAAATGGGAATAACTTTGTCAGTATTTACGAGAATAAACCTGCTCATTTTAAATTTAGTTGGAAAACCTGAATTAACTAAATGAGCAAATGCAACAAAATTGAAATATTTTTCTCCTGTTGTAAGCATCCATAGATAACCTGCATGTTTATATAAAATGTGTCACATTGGAAAGACTTTTGCATTTAACTGTCAGGGAAACCAGGTATTAGTCCTGTCATACTTCCCTGGAAGCTAAATCTCTGAATGCTGTTTAGACATCATAGTCGTACTAAGCAATAATATATAGCCCTCCCATCTCATATGGTGACTCTGAGTAGCAAGCAAACAACAAATCTTCAAAATAATTAAAAACAAAAGCATTAAAATGCAATTAAAATTGTTAAAAACTGTAATAAATTGCTTATGAACTTAAACACAGTGCCATCTACTGTATTTCATAGGCACTATGGCCCTATGACAAAACCAAGTTTTAAGGGCCTTGTTGTTACTACATTATGCAACTTTGAAGGACCATCTTTTCCCAATCACATCTACCTAGCCCATTGTAGCGGGGAGGCAGAAAATGATATGACTCCAGTTTCTAGGAGGTCCACCTAGTGAGATCAGGAAGAAGGGCCTTCTCTGTAGTGGCTCCTCCTTTGTGGAACATCATCCCGTCAGAGATAAGATGGGCCCTCACTTGGACATTGGTCAAAGCCCTGAAGACAGGGTTCTGCCAAGTGGCCTGGGGACCCCAGAGTGATACAGAATCCATCAAGTCACTGGTCTGATTGTTGTCATCGGAGGAGTGGAGGTTTATTGGTCTTTGTACTGTGAGCTCCTGGAGTCACCATAATTTGGACAGCCATAATCATTTTCTTAATAAATAAACGTATGGGCATCAGGTGTCATTCTGAAATCACACCATTTGTATAATGACCTCATGATGAGCATGTCTGCATTCTGACCTCCTTATGGCCTGTTATGGACAACCTCTGTCCCTGCCATAGAAAGTCATAGAATGACAGAGTTGGAAGGGACCTTGGAGGTCTCTGCACCAGTCTTGAGTCTCATACAGATTCCTCTCTCCATAGCCAGCAATGTCTGCTTCTTTGCGAAGTGCCCTTACATGTGCAAAACAGAATATGCCGTCTGTGGGAATCCTCATCTCTTGGAAGGTTCCCTCTCGGTTTTCCTGCCTTCTCTCAACTTGGCACCACGAATCTCCATCCCTAATCCGTGGATCCGATCCTACACCTTTGCAGGAAAAGAGGAGTAAGTGGGTAAATGGACCTCTCTTTTTGCTTACTGCTCAGACAAGGGCCACCCTTTCAAAAACATACTATGCTACACTTATTGAGCAGGACAGCTTCAGAAAGGCCCTTGGTCCCTCTGTTTATGCAGAAGAGAAACGAGGATGTAATCTTAGACACAGTTACTGGAGGGTAAGTCTCATCTAATTCCCCAGGCTTAGCTCACACCTCAATTTTGCATTCCTAATCTTGCCCATCAAGAAGCAACCAGATGCATTTGGACCAAACAAAGGTCCTAACCACTATAGCCAAGCTAGTAATAAATGCTGTTTCCATTTTCTACTGTAAAATAACAGTTTCTAGGAAGTCCAACAGGAGCTTATATATAAAGAGGTGTGTGGACATGCCTGAGGGAAGAGTGAAAAAATTTAATCCTCTTACTAACCCAGTCTGGATAAAAATTGCTTCTGAAACTACTGTTTCCATGCTTAGCCAACAGAAGCTCTTTGGGTGGTTTGAGGCCAACTCTTTGAGTAGCTGCAGTGGAATAAGACAAAAAACACCTATAATGTGCATTGCCTTAAATTCCTTGAGGAAAATCAAGATGCAAATATGAAAAATCAAAAGTATTAAATGTAGGCTTACCTTGAAATATAAAAGCCAACTGTGGAGGGCCTATTATCATGATTGTGACAAGGAGAGGGAAAGAATGAAACTTCTTTTCCCAACAGTCCTGTTGAGCAGGACTGTCAATCTCAAGGCAGTGGGGGCAGATCCTGCTTGCAAGGTGCTTAGATCTGGCCCGCAGGGCCACCCTGGAAACAGCAAAGGACCAGCCCGCGATGCCTCTGCCAGCGAAAACGGAGTTTGGAAGGACTGTGTGTGGCCCTCCCGAGCTCTGTTTTCATTGGCAGAGGGTTGCAGGAGACTGTTGCAGCCAAAAACAGAGCTCAGGAGGGCTGCAGGCGGCCCTCCCGAGCTCCATTTTCACTGTTAGAGGGTTGCAGGATGCTGTTGCAGCCAAAAACATAGCTCGTGAGCCCATTTTCATTGGCAGAGCACTCGGGCCACCACAGGCACCCCCAACACGAGTGACGTCAAGTTGGCCATGACCCCTTGGCCATGCCCCTCCTAGTCCCCCCAAGGTCAAACACAACCCTGATATGGGCCTCAATGAAATCAAGTTTGATACCCCTGGTGTAGAGAGTGCTCAAGCTTCTCTACAGATGTTCTTTAGATGTTTTAGAAACCTTGACAGTTTTGAAAATCCTTGCCTATTGCTTGCATTCACTTTTTGCCCTGGACTCATGGCTTCACATGGCAGGCTAGACCCCAAACTTTTAATTTCCTCTTAGAGTCCAGTGCTGCCTTTTCCCTCTTTTTTCAAGAAAGGCAGCAGATGGGGAAGGTGTTGATGCCAGCAGCAACTCTCTTCTCTTTGATCTTCCTCCCAGGTGGGAAGTAAATCCTCTCTATTGCAATACCGTGAAGGAGATTTATCCTTACAGCAGTGGCAGCCGGCTACTCAATATCATTGACATGGCCATATTTGACTTCTTAATAGGTAAGTAAAAGAGGGAGGGATTGTGATCCTCATGGATCTGAGGTGCTCTGTCTAAGAGTGGAAATTTTTCATGGGGCATGAAATACAGCCGGCTTAGAACATGCTGATAAATTCAAAACTTTCCCGGTTATCTGAGCTGAATTCTCTGGTTTCAATGTGGAGAGTGGAAGGGGTTGGCTAAATTCCTTATCCTATATATCCAAGATCACTGTCAATGTGTCTGCAGTCATGAAATCAAAAGATGCTTGCTCCTTGGCAAACTATGGCTATGGCAAACCTAGACAGCATATTAAAAAGCAGAGACATCACTTTGCCAACAAAGGTCTGTATAGTCAAAGCCATGTTTTCCCAGTAGTAATGTATCGCTGTGAAAGTTGGGCCATAAGGAAGGCTGAGCGCTAAAAAATGGATCCTTCCAAATTGTGGTGTGGGAGAAGATTCTTGAGAGTCCTTTGGACCGTATGGAGATCCAAAGGCAATCCTAAAGAAAACCAACCCTGACTGTTCTTTGGAAGGACAGATCCTGAAGCTGAAGCTCAAATATTTTGGGCACCTAATAAGAAGAGAGGACTTATTGGAAAAGATGCTGGTGTTGGGAAGGATTGAAGGCAAAAGGAGAAGGGGACAGCAGAGGATGAGATGATTAGGTAGCGTCATCAATGCAATGAACGTGAATTTGGGCAAACTCTAGAAGACAGTGGAAGACCAGGGGCCTGGCATGCTGAGGTCCATGGGCTCGTGAAGAATCAGACATAATGACTGAACAACAACAAACAATATATCAACATTCCAGAGGAAAGCAATCCTTTGGGATCCTTATGTTTTCTCCAAAAACAAAAGTTGGTTCATTATGCAATTAGTTCTATTTTATCCTTACAACATTCACATTGAAAAACAATGACTGGCCCCAATGAGCTTCTGGACTGAACAGGAATGTGAGTCCATTGTAGTCCATCATTCAGCATTCAAACTCTCCATTTGGGGTGGGGGAGTGGGGGGGTGTTTTTGCAATGGCCAAATTACATCAGATAGAAATAGCAGAAGCAATTTGCTATTTGCTTTAAATATTATATAGTCGTGCAAAAGATAAAAAAGCTACACATTTATTCACTCATACATTCCAATTTAGATATTGGCGGTTTTAAAAAAATGACAATGGCAGTTTAAGGAATGCCAGGTGCATTGTGGCATGAGATTTTGTCTACTACAATCCATTCCAATGGATTAACTTCACAATGTTGTTGACATGCTGAATTGTTTGTGCTTGATTTTGTCTCCATGTTAACAACTCACACACATAGGCACATGCCAGAACGAGCCTCCTAAATGTCTTGCTTTCTGCCACACTCCATCATATTTTCTTCCAGAATTTGGCAGTAGGGAACAAACACGTTTTATAATATACAGCAAATGTCTCCAGTTGACTGTTTGGAAATTTGAGATGTTATTGTGAACGCCCTTGGAAAATGGCTTCCACTCTTTGATGGCCTTCAAAATTCTTCTCATCACGGCTTTTACCTCCTAGATGACTTCTACCTCCATAATTTGGGGGGGGGGTAGCTTTTTCTCCCAAGGTAGATGGATACACGTATTCACAAAGCATTGCGTTGCAAAGAGTCTATTCTTACTGAATATAATAGGACTTTTTTGCATGGATGTAGGGCTGATCAAATGTCTCAGGAAATACCTTTCTTTGGAGAGATCTCCTTTTTCAAATTAAAAGAATATAAAAACAACAGCCAGGGGAATATGGGAGGCCCATGCTGTATATATCCTGACTTTGCTCTACTTAGAAAAAGCAATCCAGCTGTGCTCTACTGGGCAAAAAGGATATTGCACACTTTAACCAGACTTTCAAATGTCAAAAGTCTTGGCCTCATCGGGAGACCGCATATCTTACCTCCGCTGAGCTGCAGCCAGAGGAAGGAATAATTAAATGGTTGAAAAGCTCGGAGTCCTAATATAGAATCCGGTGTACATGCCATGAAGATTAATAACCTTTCTTGTAATGGTGGTTTCGAGCTGGATTGCAGTATAGCAGTAAAGCCTAATTGACCACAACATGCAACATTAGCAGAACTACAGAACAAATGAGGCTGCAATTTTGTGTATATACACTGGGCTGGCTGTAAATCTAAAGTAACTCAAGGGGGTTTCCTCTGAACAAGCAATCGTGGAATTATATTGACAGTCATGCTGGGAGAAAATAGTTACATTTCATGCATAAATATGCATGTATAACCAGGAACTCAAACTGACTCCAGTTTTTAGACCCTATCCAGAGAATCCCAGATGTTCACTTGAATTCCAGAGTTTACTTCATTGCAAGCTGAGCTAAGAAGCCCCCCCACACACACACACACAGGCCATAAGGAAAGCATAATAAAGCAAATCAGTTGTGCATCTGCATCCTGAATTGTCAACCTACGTGATCCAAAAGCTTTCTGTAAGCTCTTTAAATTGCTAGTCCTCCTTTCACATTAAAAGGGTTTGATATCTCTTTTTCAGCAGTTCTTAATCTATGGATCCAGATCTATGATTTCTGTATTTAAATATGGGATGTGAGTCTGCATGCGTTTGTTTTCCATGCTCTTCCTTTTTGTCTTCTGAAAGGTAACATGGACCGCCATCATTATGAGATGTTTACAAAGTTTGGAGATGATGGGTTTTTGCTTCATTTGGATAACGCCAGAGGGTAAGGCAACTTTCCTCATTATCAGCATTCTCCCCACCTAAGCACTGGCCTTGACAATTTGCAGATAGAACTGGACTTCAGATTGCGAAAATATCATCGGATATAATATTGATTTATGTATGATATATGAAATATGTATGATAAAACCCCATATTAAACTAAAACAGGGCTCCTATCTGCTTAAGAGTTGACAGCCCTGGTTCTCTCCTTCCCACTTTTTTTCCTCCAGACCTTTTTTGAAGGGAGAAGACCTAGAAACTGCCTTAAACTGACCTATTTCATGACAAGCGGTAATTGGCCAGGTTCATCTGTAGCAGAAATAAACTAGCTACATTCAGGCTGCTAATAGTACAATTGATGTTCCTTTGCACTATGCCAGAATGTTTGATCCTCTTGTCCTGGAATGTTGATAATGACCGGTCCTGCATCTCCAGGGGATTTGACAGAAGCTTCTCCGGATATCCCTGAGGATGCCAGGAATTGATTTGCAACCAGCTGCATATAAAACCTGCAGGTTGTCCTTTGGCCTTCCTGAAACTGATACCTTCTACATGTGTGGGAGGACAACTCCACCAAACTTATTTACTATTTACTTCAGATATTGGGTTTGGATGAATTTTCAGATATGAATTTGACAAAAATATGATTGGGTCAGTATGATGGGTGAATTAAGCCTTGAAAGGGAGGGTGGTTCTGCTTGCCTTGAAGGAGGTCCCCAGTGTCCCTGTTCTTTAAGAAATCATTGCTGACTTGGGACAATTTTCATAGTCTCCAACATCTCTGTTTTGGGGGATATCATTGAGAAGATGGTCAGGTTGTACCTTCAGAGGGCTTTGGAGGAAATGAATTATCTGGACCCTTTTCAGCTGAGTTTCAGGACAGGATGCAATGCAGCCATGATGGCAAACTATAGCATGCGTGCCAGAGGTGGCACACAGAGCCTTCTCTGTGGGCATGCGTGCCATCGCCAGCTGCTCTTCTGGTTTCCGGCATGTGCATGCACACTGACCAGCTGATCTTAGCGTGTGCCAGAGCCCTGGAAACCTGAAAACCAGCTGGCCGGTGCGCATGCTGAACAGGAGCTGTGGCTCCTGCAGGATGATCTGTGGATTTCAGGTGTTGCTAAACCACAATTACTAGCATCCCCAGCTAGTCTGCCAAATACCATATGAGATAATGCAAGTTATGTTCCATCTTTTCATTGATCTCATACCTGTGCCCTAATCTTTCTAAGCAGGGTAGGACTAAATGAAATACATGCTGAGTTGTTATTACCTGAGCTTTTCAACTGTTAATGGGAATCAATGCACTTGACATGAGCATTCCAATATTCTGCAATCTGTATTGGCTTTAAGCTGCTTAGGTCTTTCTGGGAACCCTGAGAAATTATTAATTTTAACCTCGAGCACTAAAGATATTGATTAGGAAATTCTGAGAGAGAGAGAGCACACAAGAGAGCGAGAGAGCGAGCAAGAGAGAGAGAGAGCATTTTATCAGGGCAGAAATATCACATGTGAACATCAGTAGAGTGTAGGGAATTCTCCCTTTGAGAGCAGGACAGACAATGGCTGGTTCTATAATTGTTGCAAGATTGCTACTCTCAACATCCGCCCCTGATGGATGGATGGGTTCACCAGCAAGTAATCTTTCTTGTTGTACACAGGTGTCAAACTCAATCATGTCACATGATGTATCGCAATGTATCATGACTTTTTTGCCTTTGCAGAGCCGGGCCTGCATGTGATGCATCCGGCCCGTGGGCCACCAGTTTGACACCCCTGTTGTAGGACATCAGGGTTTATGAAACTAGAGGCAGCATGACTAGCAGCACAAGGCTGTGCAGCAAACCAGCAAACCCAATTTCCCCCCCTCCCAGGATTGATTGTCAAGTGACTTCAGAAGGGGTTAGCAATATTGGAGCTCACTGGAGCTATGATTTTTAAAATGTGGCACAGCTTGTCCTTGGCCTCGGGTGCAAAATGGTCCGAATTATAGAGGCTGAGTGGGAAGTTAAGAGGCAAGAGATAAGGCTTACTTCCTACAGTAAACACACCCTTCGGTTATGCTTCATACTGTCATCTGCGTTGTTTTCTTGGCAACGTTAAAGAAGTGGTTTCTCACATCCTTTTTTCAGGATATTTTCTTTGGTTCGAACTTGTGCCAACAACCCTGCAATTCCTAAATGATCCCAAACCAAAATATGAATCAGACTGTCTCTGCTTAGCTTCCAAGCTCAGCCAACATTGGCTAGATGCTGCCATCTGTTGATTCTGTCAAGCTTCTTCCAATTAACTCCCTATGCCTGCGTTTTAGATACAAATTCAGTCAGTATCAAGCCATGCCTTTGCCTTCTATTGACCACTCTGAAAGACATTCTTTTCCAGCATCCTGGATTGTTTGCTGTGCCCATGATGCTGACGTTTATTTCTTTGTTCTCACAGATTTGGGAAACATTCCTATGATGAGATCTCCATCTTGGCTCCACTTAAACAGTGTTGTATGTAAGTACTTGCCTTTCCACATCAGCCTAGTTAAATAGAAAGGCTACATGTTGTGGCCTGGAGAGTTAGCAAGCAAGTAATCACCTGTTTTGCCTATCTTTGCTAAATGAGACAAGCCAAGTTCAAGAAGTCCAAGTTGTTGGAACATGAAGCAATCACCAAAGGATTTCCCCAACTTATTTTTTTCTGCCAGATTCACCATCTGGAAAGTAAGGAGGAGTCCTGTAGAACCAGGATAAAAGGGTGTCGCACCTTGGACAATGCTGCATTTGTGTGTGTGTGTGTGTGTGTGTGTGTGTGTGTGTGTGTGTGTTTTCAGTTGATTTCTAAACATCTAGCACCTTAAACAAAATTATTTTGCCGTTATTATAGCTCAGAGTCATTTGCTACAAGATGGGCGGCAAATACATTCAATAAATAAATAAATTAAATTTCTAAATTATCTCCAACTCAGAGTACAATGAATTCTAAGCTGTGTGCAATCACCAAGACTTCATTGCCTTACTGGATATACACCCCTTCCCTTTCAGATCTGCTATTCATCAAAGCACAAGGAAATTGAGGCATTCATTTTGATCCCTGTCAAGAACATTAAGACTTTATCAGCTTCTAAAAGGAACCAAAACTTCATCCATTTCTTTTTGTGTCCCCCTGCAGTCATTTTGGGGTATAGGATTTACTCATAAATTGTAGTGCCTGTGTCCTCTCCAGGTTATTCTTTTATTAATTCATATAAATCAACAGCTAGACCTTCAAGAGGTTGGGCAAAGAGTTATTCATCCTCTGGGTTTCTTTCTCCAGCATAGCTAACCGATTTCCACTATATCCCCTCTAAATTTCTATAGAAGCCAATGCCAAAAGCATCATCTGAAGTCATATAGATATATAGAGCCTCCAGGTCTGGTTTCAAGAGTTGTTCATTATTCACACCTTGCAAATCCATCTGGTTTATAATTATAGAGCTGCCACTAAATCTTTTAAATGTCCTTCAAGTTCGTATGCTCTAAATTGGCTTTTGCCCCCTCCTACCCTGAAAGGATCACATTTTCTTTGCCAAAATCTTTTCCTAACTCAATATAGTATTTTAAAAGGACGATAGGGTGATTACATTGAATCCTTTATAAACATTAAAACTTCTAATGGTTATAGTCATTATAGTCAATATTTTCCCCTTAAAAACTGTGATGTAAGTATTGTGTGTTTCCCTTGCTGTGTGACAGGTAATAGGTAGGAAAGTCATTTTAAATTTACTCAAACTTCTATTTTGTCTGTGTACTGTTAATTTTACTACTGCTACCTATTTCTCAAGTTTGAGCTCCCAAACTGATATTGTTGGCAAAGTACCAATGTTGGGCCAAGCTTGTCCTTACATCCAACAATATATACAGTATCTCAGTAGATTCTTTTATTTGTTTGCTTGTTTGTTCTGTAAAGACTCCTAGAGTAGGGGTTGCTTTGGTGGTGATGTTTTTTAACCCTGAGAATTCAGGTCAAGCTCTCTTTTAAAATATTTTTGTAAATAATTATGTGTATGTCCTTCCAATGCTTTTCACTTTTTTACATGACCAACAGAATATGGTAAGATGTTCATTCTATGTCACAATATTTCCAACATTATTATTCATCTCTTTTTTGCAATTATGGATAGGTCACATGCAATGGGAGGGAATGCCCTGATTTTTACTAATTATTTTCTATGATTTATACTTATCTTTTGATTCTTTTACTTTTTTATAAGATCACATGCAATTATTTCATATAATGACAAATAGTGGGGATATTAATATATAAATAATATAAATCAATGGATGTTTAGTTTTGCATTGATTTTTAAAATTGTAAATTCTACTTAATTTCTAATATTTTACCTTCCGTCCACTTTGTCCTTTCTCATTTTCTTTTTTCCATTATGTCATTTATTTTATTTTTCAAATATGTTAAAATGACATTTTGATTCCTAATGTGGTTGCAGAAATTGATGAAGTTATCTGAAATGGCAAAATTGACTATTTTGATTAAAGAAAAGAATACAAGTACTTTTGTTTCCATATGGAGACTGCTTCTGAACTTTGTGCTTGAAGTGAAAAAGAATGAAACTTTGATTTTGGGTTTTACTAATTAGATTGAGAGATCTTTATAGAAATGGCTTGTTCATATTATTATGAAAAAACAAAAAGTTATGATTTGATGTTAATATCTTATTTTACCGAAACAGAGAGAATCAGAAGTTAATGTTTCCTTTCCTTTCCTTTTTTTCCTTATCCTTCCTCACTTCTCTTCCTCCTTGTCCTCCCCACCATTTTCCTATTTATGTTTGTATTTTGTATCTTATTACCCAATAAAAATGTTAAAACATGAAAATGGGAAAATATGAAAAAGGCTGATAGGGAATGGGCCAAACAGCATCAGAGAACAGACTTTTTATTATTACCAGAATAAAAATCAAGAAAAGTAACCAATAACTCCTTGCCTCCATAATCAAGAGGCAGGACTGAGCTTCTTTAGCTTTGGCCTTTCCAGAAAAAACCCTCAAGGCTTCTGTAAGTAGCATAGGCTAGGAGCTTGCAATAGTTTTTCACTGTGTATCAAGTGCTCTGTTCAGCTATAAATTGGACACATCAAGCTTTCAAACATGAATAAGAATATTTAGATCTTGAAGAGTTTTTTTCCCCCCATAAACAAGTTGACTCAAAACTATCTTTCCTTTCCTTTAGAATAAAGAAGATCACCTTGTTAAGGCTGCAGCTTTTAGCCAAGTCAGACTACAAGCTGAGTGATATCATGAGGGAGTCCCTCCTTCAAGACCGCCTTGCCCCCGTGTTGACTGAAGCCCACCTTCTGGCATTGGACAGGAGGTTACAGATTATCCTGAAAACTGTGGAGAAATGCATAGAGGCCTTTGGAGAAGACACTGTTGTAGCTGACACAAAGCCTTTGGAACCTGTGGCTTTTGACAGAATGACACAGCCAAGCTAGAGTCAAGGAGAAAAAAAACCTAGAACCTGAACTTGAAATGATTGCGCTTCCTTAATCTGGACATTAAAACGTGAGAGGAAGGCAATCATGGCAGAATCAGGAAACCACTGGGTGGTTGAAACCTGCAGCTTTCGCCTCAAATTTATAGATGGGAATCACATACACATCACAATCTTCCTGCCTCTTCTCCAAGAGATTGAAGATATATCATCTTCTGTAACTACCAAACGATGTCCTTCTCAGGATTTGCCTGGGCTCATCATGGCTAGATTTGATTGGTGGGTTGAATAAAGAAAGGGAGAGGCACTAAAGAAACATTTCTGGAATGCATCCACATTGAGATTTAGGAAAATATTAATAAGGTGGGCCTGTACCTCCTCAGGGATGTTTAGTTTATGGAGAACTGTAGTAGAAACTGTAACACAACTGTAGAAGCAGCCCTTGGCAAAAGCAAGCCATGAAAAAGTGCTGATGTGGCAGACATTCTGGCTCTAACCTAGTTTAGACAACTCCACAATAGAAAGAAAGAAAAGCTACTTTAAGGCATAAAATTCCACCCGTCTCAAGGTTGCCAAGGAAGGGGAAATTGTTCTTTCTTTTGTGTAAAGGATCCATCAATTTGGGGTTGCACTGTGGGTGCCTTCAGATGATTCCAGATGTCCTTGATATCAAGGCAATGCATATAAGCTGCAATTTTACATTATAGCACTTGCCACTGAAATCTTTCCAGCCATTTACTTTGGAATAATGAAGAATAAGACTAGCATCTTGATTGATGTCTCACCACCAGCTAGCCGTAGCAATGCTTTTTCAAGCAAACAGTATCATCATAGTGGAAGTTGAACTCACTCTCTCTCTCTCTCTCTCTCTCTCTCTCTCTCTCTCTCTCTCACACACACACACACACACACACACACACACACACACACACACACACACACACACACAGCAAACAGAATATGGACTGTGAAGGAAATGTACCAAGGTAATCTACACCAACTCTAAAAGCACTGGAAACACATATGGAAGTTGAAAAAAGATTTTGCACCACAATGCTTTTTCAGGATGCTAGCCAACTGCACACACTTCCCATCCATTTTCAGACTCCCCCCCCCTTTTTTTTTTTTGCCAATAATCACCCTTTAACACTTTATAAGCATGGTGTCAACTGACTGTGGGTACTGAATTTGGTAGTTTTTTATTCCCCCGTTCTAACTATCTGGTACTGGTAAGGGAAACACTAAGGCTGGCAGCTCAATGGCAGGTCTTCTGGTCTACATCTCATTGAAGATGGGTACGATGCCGATAATGCAACCAAGGTGTTTGAGGAAATTAGATATCAACTGTTGCAGTTTCTTTCCCTGGTAAATTTATGCAAGATTAAAATACAGATTTTTTTTAAAAGTCTGGTCATCGAAACCATCCCCCCCACCCCTACCCTTTCAAATAAACTTCAGTTTACCCAGTACCTCTTCAAAATAAGGTTTAGTACACCAAGGAATACTGACAATTCCATGAGTTGCCCCTAGTCCTTCTAGTAATTCAAAACATTTGTTGGTTTCACATCTGAAATCAATCTCTGTTGAAGATTTCTTGCATTGATCATGGACTTTAACAGCACAGATGCAGCCTATACATGTCTCTAATGTTTGTGGGGGGCAATCTGGGCAGATTAGCTTGTCCCCCCCCCACCATCCCCAAGGATTATCATTAGGCTTTGGCAAAGTCATTCACCATAGGAGGTATGAAGATGGAACTATAAAGAGCAACAAGTCGAAAATCTAGTGTCAACTGCCATCCGATGTTGGGAGTTTCACACGATCTTCCAAACCTCATCTGGCAACTTTCTGAAATTCCAACAGCTTCGTTATTACTACTGTATTACCCATGGAGGTTGGGAATTCTGGTGTAGGTATTTGGAGAGTACAAGCTAGGAAAAAAACTTCAATTTGAGGTATACTTGGTGTATTCCAGTTTTAACAACGAAAGCACCATATTATCCCTATCTTAAAACCTATATTTTTTATCATTTGTAAGCAATTAACATACCAAAGCTAGATCTTCTACAAATAGGAAAGGTGGAAATTCACTTTCCAATTGTTGTCTATGGATGCACAAAAGTATTTATTGTAAAAGTCCTTGGGTAGCATAGCAAACGCTGCAAACCTCCAATTGCTGTTTGAAAGGATACTCAATCATCAATTCGACAACTTTGGGAAAATTACCTAGAGACTCCATAAACTTCCCTGGAAATACTTAATATTTGAGTATCGTGTAACGTTGATAACCAAAGTTTACGAACTTTGATTATCACTTCAGCTCGATTACCATCTTTGAACAATGGTTCATCAAAGAGTATTAAATTGGTTATATTATTTAAGTCAATGATTGTACAGTATTTCAGCTCCCTCTACTGATAAGTTTCCAGATATGAAGATTTAAAACATTCTTCAAATAAAATGTCTGGTTCCAAGGCCCATGGGATTACAGGAATGCATCAGCATAGTCACTTTGGATCTCAGGCAGTAAAAGCTGATCAGTTTCCATAAAGTAGTCACTATCTCCGGTGATCTATTTTTTGGCATTTTTGCATGTTTTTAATGCTAACAACAATTATATGAGAGGTTTAGGAGTGGGTTTCTCTCAATACAGGAAGTTTAAATATTAACTTGGTGTACTTCATCACTCATGAGTGTATAAAAGGAAAAACCCAGGGTGAATTTGTTGGCCATAATGAAACACTTGAAGTCTACCCGGATACTTGATTATCAAAAGGAATAATAATCCCCTACAATATTAAACACCCCAATACATTGTTTCTTATCAAGTGATCTTATAAACTGTTTATATTTATGAAAGTCATGTTTTCTTGCCCTGGTTGATGCCAAAGCATCAGAAGATTCATTTACTTGACAATCAGCACATAGTTCATTTTTAAAACTTAAAGCAGAGCCCATGTTTATTAATTGCTCATCATTAAGTGACCTGCAAAATATACTAATGGTTGATTCGAACATTTGCTGGAATTTTTGATCTATGGTTTGTTGATTACAATGCAATGGATCAGTTTGCACATTACACACTAAGCCATAAAGGGTACATCTACATTCCACATTAAGCCAAAAACATAATCTTATGTTTTAGTGCAGAACCATGGCTCCATTTTCCATATAATTTAACTGCAACAAGGTTTTTTTTGGTTCTTATGAATCCCACCCAATTTATGTGTTTATATGAGTCAAAATTCTGTATCAAAGAAAATTAGTTCTAACCATTATTTAACTCAAAAGTAAGTATTTTCCAAGGTGAAGCTCCTCTATAGCGATCCTAGTGAAAGAGAGCGCAGAGGGAATGAATGGCTGAGAGAGACAGGAGAAGAACTACTACTAAGTCAGTGGTCAAATAGGAGACGCCTGATCTACTTTGAAGAGCTGACAAGTTCATGTTTAACAATACACAAGGAACTATGTTACATTAGCTAAGGTAAAAAGTGGGTCAGTATCAGAAAAAAAGTAAGACCATCCCCAGCTAGTCTGTTCAAATCCAAGAATTAGCAGGGGAAGGGCCCACAAAAATGAAACACTGATTACATTTAAGAATTTAAATCATTTTATTGCTTTACCTGCCATTAGGACAATCTATAACAAAAGGAATATATTAGCACATACAATAAGTCAGACTTATAGTCAGGTAACAATACAAAAATGGTCCTCTGGTTTACTATAGCACTCTAGGGCAGTAGATTTTTTTTAATTTGCTAAGGTGACCTAGCAAAACAGATTATCTTCTAAAGCCCTGAATGTTAGCTAAGGCAAACTATACCAACTGTGGATTCAAACATATTTAAATTGCACACAAAGGTAAAGCTTTAACTGTGATTAATATTTAACTCAGACGTAGCTGGTTCATCTTAAAATCCTGTTGGTAAAACTACAAAAGGGAGTAAACAGCAAGCTAAAAAGACGCAGTAGTGAAACTTGATTAGAAAGCCTTATATAAAAAAATGTGCATTTTTTTTAGCGCTTACATAACATTTAAAATCTTTTTGGTGCTTCAACAAGGATCAAATCAAGCTTCAAAAATAACAAAAGGTATAAGGAAAAATAATCCCTGTAGATTTGAACTGAATAGAATTTAGAGAAAAAAGTAACATGGATCTCTGAAGAATGCAGGTGGATATCCTTACCTTACCAAGGTGGTTAGGATGATCAGAAGGAATTAACAATGTATATTTTACATTTAATCCAAATCCAGATACGGGGACATATCAATGGCTGCCCACAAATTTTTTTCAAAGAATATGCTAAGGTTCCTATTCCTCCAACTGCAAAGTATGATTAGCAAATGTTCTTCCAACAGCCAGCAAGTCAGAAAGGTGTATACTAGGTCCAATTGTCCAAGGGAAGGGGCCGCTAACCGGGCAAGTAAGATTTGTTAAGAATAGTTTCATAAACAATGCAAAACACTTGCTGCCATATAAAGCTCTACAGTAGTTTTAGATCATTTAGGTTACAAATAAACTGACTTGCTTACATTCTCCAACTGTGAAATTCAATAAAGCTAGTGGATAGCACCGAGTGCCACACAGAATATTGTTAACACAAACCTGGTAAATACTGAAACACACTTCTGACTTGACAACAGGATTAACTTTCAAAAACTAGTTATTCCACTAGATCAATGAGAATGTGAGGCCAAACAAACTAGAGCATGTGTCTCCTTCCAGCTAAATATTTTAGGAGTTTGACAGGAAACAGGCATTGATTCTTCTGCTTCCTGTCTTTCATTTTAGCCGGAGTCCTATCATCTTCCTAAATTAGACTGTATATTCCATCCTGCATTGACCACCAGTTACATAAATAGCATCACTGAACTATCTGGTTCCAAAGTTAACAGGGAAGGCAAAGCTTGGAAAGGGCAGGCATAAGACTGCATACATAAGAATGCACCCTTCAGCTTCCTGTTCTAGATAGTGTGGATGGGGTGTTACAACTCACACTAGCTGAGGAGCAGTACACTAGTGTAAACACCTACGCCTATGTTCAGGGGTTTAGCACATTGGTTGCCCTTTGAGAAAAATCAGGAGGCATATATTATAAATATTCACATCTGAGAACAGGCAAAACTTTTTGCTGTGCCAAAGATAGCAACACTTGGCAATAGTTGCCAAAACAAAAGCTTGTATACAAAAACCTGACAAACAATAACCAAGCCATCTTGAAATGGATACAGATGCACAAAACTATCAAACTTCTAACTCTGGTTTTACTAGAAGCTGATCTCAGTAAACTTAACCAAACATCACCCATATCCAGAACATTTTGCCAAGAGGTTGAGCTGAGAAGGTAAGTTTCTCCATCTGAGAAAAGTACAGTAGAAAGTGATCACAATCTAAAAGGAACATGGGACTCACTGTGGAGAACGCACGTTTAGAATTTCCCACTGTTACATCCTTAACTCTACTGCAATAACCTCGGTGCTCAGGAATTGTTCCCAGCAAAAGGAATGGCAGTCACTGGCCATACTGGACAGTGTACATTGCACAGAGAGAAGCAGTAACAGTAAAAGTTTCCATACAATTCCCTATTTTCAATGGTGCTAGGAGCACCAAAATAATGCTCTAAAATTTAAAACGCTGTGAAAAGCAACTGCTTTCTTCCCGTCCCCCCACCCCACCCCACCCCCACTCTCAGACAGACAGGAAGCTGCAATAGCCAGTAGCCGTGTGGCTCTGCACAAGAGTAATGAAAACAGTCTGCGTTTGTGAAGCATGTATTTGAGAAGGAGGGAGACTTCAGACAGAGAGAGAGACAAAGCTGTTGTACTGCTGGATGTTCCGTTTCAGAATATCGGAGCATGGACCCAAGACACGCTCAAATCTGGGCCGATCAAGCTTTACACATTTTAAGGGGCCACGAGCAACAACAGTGGCAGCACGAGGACGATTCATTAATAGAGCTATTTCGCCTACAAGGAAAAAAAAGACATTTATTACAAATGGACCAATTAATGGAAAACTGATAACTTATGTACTGAACTAAAACTATGCTTTCATTATGAGAGAAAAACTATAATAATTCCTGAACTGCTATAGCTATTTTTATTCTCATTAGTTCCCCCTAATGAGGCTTAGACAGTTGTGGATAGCCCACCCTTTCTTCTCTTATCTCCTAAACAGGAAATATTTGGAAATGATTGTTGTGAAATTTCATCAACATAATACACCGTGCATTGTTGGCTTGTATGCTAACCTAGAGGTGGGCAACCTGATGCTCTAAGGATAAATGAAATCTTCGTACCTGATTTTTGAAGCTTCCTCCAGCCATGATTTAAAACTGGAGAAAACTTCTGACATTTAAAGACAGGAAACACAACTAAACCTTTAAAATAAGTTTTACTTACATTAAAGCAATAGTTTAGTTAGTTTAGTTTAGTTAGTTTAGTTTATTATATTTGTATACTGCCCTTCTCCTGAAGGACTCAGGGCGGTGAACAGCCATGATAAAAACAATGTACAACAAAAATTAAAATCCCTCAGAACCCCAAGGGTAAAAAAGCAGAAAAAAAACCAAATCCCACAGGTATTCCAGGATTGCTCCACTCACTAGGGCTCTCATACAGTCAAAAAGCAGAATATAAACTTTAGTAATTGGAAGATTGTCTATTCCTGCCTTAATATGAATAGAGATAAGTATTTCCATCTGCCTTCAAATGAAAACTAGACTTTTCTTTCAAGCGAAAACTAGATTATAAATAAAATGTGTTAAGAATGAAGAGAATCCTTTTCACTCCATTTATTTCCCTTAGGAGAATCACTGATTATTATTCAATGCAATTTTGCTTCACAGCCTCAAAATTTGGGGAAGGATTCACTTGTTTCCAAGTAATAGTGAATATAGAGACTTTTTTCAAGCTCAAATGTTAAAAATGTTCTTTTACAGTGTTGTGGAATGGTGTTTTAAAATAAAAAAATATTTTCAGAATTCCCAATAGACATTAAATCTGGATTAAACATACCGTGTTTTGAATCCCCTCCCCTTTTAGATTTATTTGTAATAATCCACAATTGATTTAACATTACTTGTGGTTGCAGGTTTTGTACCTATTGCTCATTGTTAGTGCCGCATAGTACCACCACAGGCACCTGATCGAACCTGATAGGTTCCAGACGGAGCTTGGGCCATTCCCTGAGGCTTTGGCTCACACCTCAACTGAAGACCTAGTGGCCGCCTGGGATAGAGCGGCTGCTGGAGCTTTGGATCGGGTCGTGCCTTTGCGGCCTCTGACCCGGCGCCGGTCTCACCTGGCTCCTTGGTTCACCGAGGAGCTGAGGGAGATGAAGCACCGGAAAAGACACCTGGAGAGCAGTTGGAGGACCAGCCTTTCTGAATCCAACCGAACACTGGTAAGATCTCATATTATGACTTACCTAGTGGCGATAAAAGCGGCAAAATGTAACTATTTTACCACTCTTATTGTATCATCAGACAATCGCCCGGCGGCCCTGTTTAGAGTGACCCACTCCCTGCTCCACCAGGGAGCGCAGGAGGAACCCTTGGAGGGCAGGGCCGAGGACTTGGTGCAGTATCTGTATGACAAAATCGCTCAGATTCGGGAAGACTTGGACTCTGATTGGGTAGATTCAGGAGGGATGATGGAGGCAGGTCTTGAGAATGTTATCTGGGAAGAGTTTGATCCTGTGACTCCCGAAGACGTGGACAGGATTCTGGGTAGACTGAGCGCAGCCACATGTTTATTGGACCCATGACCCTCCTGGTTGGTGCTGGCCTCTCGGGAGATGACACGAGGCTGGCTCCAGGAGATTATAAATGCTTCATTGAGTGAGGGTGACTTTCCCGCCGCCTCGAAAGAGGCGGTGGTGAGGCCTCTCTTCGAGAAGCCTTCCCTGGACCCGGCAGTGTTAGCAAATTATCGTCCAGTCTCCAACCTTCGCTTTGTGGTGAAGGTTGTTGAGACTGTGGTGGCGCGACAGCTTTCCCAGTACCTGGATGAAACGGTTTATCTGGATCCATTCCAGTCGGGGTTCAGGCCTGGGTACAGCACAGAAACGGCATTGGTCGCATTGGTGGATGATCTCTGGAGGGCTCGGGACAGAGGTTGTTCCTCTGTCCTGGTCCTATTAGACCTCTCAGCGGCTTTTGATACCATCGACCATGTTATCATGCTGCACCGTTTGGAAGAGTTGTGGGTGGGGGGCACCGTGTTGCGGTGGTTCTCTTTTCTCTCCGACCAGTCGCAGTCTGTGTTGGCAGGGGGGCAGAGGTCGACCCCGAGGCACCTTATATGTGGGGTGCCACAAGGGTCGGTCCTCTTGCCCCTTCTGTTCAACATTTATGTGAAGCCACTGGGTGAGATCATCCGTGGTTTCGGGGTGAAGTACCATCAGTACGCTGATGATACTCAGCTGTACATCTCCATCCCGGACCACCCCAATGATGCCCTTGATGTGATGTCCTGGTGCCTGGAGGCCATGTGGATCTGGATGGGGAGGAACAAGCTCAGACTCAACCCTTCCAAGACTGAGTGGCTGTGGTTTCCGGCATCCCGATATAGTCAGCTGGCTCCATCGCTGACTATTAGGGGTGAGATCTTGTCCCCCTCAGAGAGGGTTCGCAACTTGGGTGTTCTCCTGGATGCACGGCTGTCCTTAGAAGATCATATGATGGCCGTGGCCAGGGGAGCTTTTTATCAGGTTTGCCTGATACACCAGTTGCGTCCCTTTCTGGAGCGGGATGCCCTGCGCACGGTCACTCATGCCCTCGTCACGTCCCATCTGGACTACTGTAACACTCTCTACATGGGGCTCCCCTTGAAGAGCGCTCGGAGGCTCCAACTGGTCCAGAATGCGGCCGCACGGGTGGTTATGGGGGCGACTCGGCGCACCCACATAACCCCCTCCTGCGCGAGCTGCACTGGCTCCCGTTGGTCTTCCGAGTGCGATTCAAAGTGTTGGTCACCACCTTTGAAGCACTCCATGGCTTAGGACCGGGGTATATAAGAGAACGCCTGCTGCCAGCAACAGCCTCCCACCGGCCAATACGCTCCCACAGAGAGGGGCTGCTCAGGGTGCCGTCGGCCAGACAATGCCGACTGGCGACACCCAGGGGGAGAGCCTTCTCTGTGGGGGCACCAGCCCTCTGGAATGAGCTGCTCCTTGAGATTCGTCTCATCCCCGACCTGCGTACCTTTCGCCGCGCCTTGAAGACCCTCTTGTTCCAACAAGCTGGCCTGGCCCAATACGAATTTTAGAATGGGTGTATGTGTATCTATGGGCCAAATTTTTATATATTCAATTTTAAATTGTTTTAAATTTTGTATATTTATATGTATTTTAATATGGCTGTACACCGCCCTGAGTCCTTCGGGAGAAGGGCGGTATAGAAATCTAATAAATAAATAAATAAATAAATAAATAAATAAATAAATAAATAAATGTATTTTAGAAAACGATACAATTCTATATAGGATTGATGGAAAAGTCAAAGTATGTGAGTCTGACTTCCCTCTTCTCACATTAATTTCAGTTAGAAAAAATAAGTTATGCTAACTACAGTTAACATAGGACAGGAGACTTCTTTGCATATCTAATGGCTTACTATTAATATAATTGGGCTTTGAGGAGTTAGCACAAAACAGAGTGAAGAAGCTAATTGCCTCATTCTAATCCCCCTCAGACAGTAGTGAAAATAATTTTCTCACATTTATGGAAATGTTCCATAATACCCTGGAAATATATTTAAAAGATAACTACAACATTCTTTCTTCAAATAATATGACACTGCTTTAACTCAATCCACACCCTATTCCAAAGATCATCATGACAGATAATAAATTATCTAGATAGGGGACTTTTATTTCAATCAATGTCTGATGTTCCAATCCAAAGCTCTTATGACAGATTCCAAGCCAGAATTTAAAAAGATTGGTAAGGACATAAAGCTATTCTGTCATCACCAGCCAAGAAGAAAGTAAATCACCTTCACTAAAATCTATTTATCTCTGAGGAATATTGCATCTTTTTCAAGCAACTTTTACTATGCGGATTAGTATCAGTTTGATGCAGCGGTGAAATCCACTTACCTTTGCTACCGGTTCGGGAACAGGAGTGCGAGGGAGCACACACGCTATGCGTGTATGTGCCTCTTCTGCGCATGCGCAGAGGGTCAAAAACGAGACATAATGACATCCCGGTGGGTGGGCAGAGCCTCCTGCTGCCGGCCCTACCAGTTTGCGCGAGCCGGATAGATCTGGCTGGATTTCACTACTGCTTTGATATCAATATTTCCTGCTGGTGCAATGCATTTCCCTGACTTAAGCACTTACAGAGACGTGGTGAGATAACACTGATGTGCTTATAGGAGGTGGAAGGGACAGAAGACAAAGGAAAACTCACCAAAATAATCAGAGGGTGCAAGTCTGCCCACTTCAACAAATTCTTCGTGCTCTGACCTGCGCTGCAACACAGCAGCTGTACCCTATAAAGGAATCAGAGGGTTAGTGACAGTTTTTTTTCTATTTGCCAGAACAACAGTTTCATCATAAATTCAGAAAGCAGAGGCATCTCTATTTAATAACTCAAATTAATGTGTTCCCGTAACCCTTAAGACCTACTGAGAGAGGCTGTGTGTCCATCCTTGGTGCCATATATTACCCACAAGTTTGTTTTATAACCAAACTGGATATTCTTTCTGCTGTATGGTTTTTTTTTAAATCATATTCTCCAATCATGATCAAATAATTAAATTTACTGAGAGCGATTTCAAACTCAGTGAAGTATTGCTAGTACTTTTACATACATTTTCAAAAATACAATCACATTTCATGATAGGGATTGGACTCTAATATTGCAAAAAAAAAATAATCAGAGTTAAATCAAGAGAAATGAAGCTAAAACTGTAACTAACAAGCAATACATACTATTATTACTCACCTCTAATATAATGAAAAATTCATCTCCAGGTTCTCCCTGCACCACGATTTTTTGTCCATCCTCAAACTGTACTGGCTCTAATGCATCAGCCACTGTGAGACGTTCCCATTTGTCAAGGGATTCTAAATTAAAAGGTAAGTATTTAATAGCAAATTTTGCTGGGTTGCAAAGATTTATAAATAAGGTATTTGTTTACTTAAAATGAGGGTTTCCTGCTCCTATCTACCCCAGCATCCATTATGCAGGCTATTCAATCGCAATCTCTCACTTTACTACAAACAATTTAACATTCATTGACATCACAAATTTGGCAATTCAAATAACAACATCTCAACAATGCCAAAAGGGTTGTCAAGGTCCTTTATAGCAGATTAGGTGATTATGTTTTAATTAGTAGGCCAGGACTAAAATAACTGTGCCCTCTTAAGTTATGAAATACAAATTCCAATATCACTCAATACTGGTCACGCAATTGCGGCTGCTGGAAGTTAAGAGCCTGCAACTTAATGAGGAACTTTTAGTGTAAACACTGGCAATTCTAATGGACATCTCTGCATACTGGTAGCAATGTTCCAGGTTCAATAAGGAGATTCTCTTTCACTCACAGAGCTAGTAATACTCCATAGAAAACGCTCCAAAACAAACCCATTTTGTATCTATGTCGTAAGAAACAAAATTGTTCCCTGAATCAAAGTCTAATTAATTCTTATGGCAGTGGGTTATTCAAAATGTTATCTCTTCTTAACAGTTCATCAACACAAATAAGGTATTTTAAAAACAATGAAGTGATCAAAAATTAATTGTCTTTAGAAATAGCTAAATGCTTACAATTGACAATACTGTAAATAGGTCATCATACAACTGATAACGTAACAGATCCTTACAAGCAGTAAGTTTCTCATGTACAGTTGCTTTCCTTTACAGCAAGGTTGCAAAAAATGTGACAATTTAATATGTATCACAGAAAGATGTTCTGAAGCAGTGGATGGACTCTAAATCCTGTTTTGGAGACAGGCTACATGAGTACATAAACAAGTCAATGATATGGGCACAGGTGTGCGCAAACACACACAGATATATAGGAAGCATAAAGATGTAGGAAAAGAGTTGAATAAAAAATAAAAGACTGAAGGACACCAAACAAAATTATGGAAGAAAATATTTAAGAGGAAGCTATATGCTGAAGAACATACAGAAATTGAAACATTTTTTCTGCATTTTTTCAGCAATACAAGTTAGTCACAAACCAAACTTTTGTCAAAAGGAAGAACAAAACCCCAGAATTTATGTTATTCAGACTATTGACAAAGTATAAGCAGGATGATAAAAAGATCAGCAGTACAATACAGTGCAAAATAATAAATAAAAAGGAGAACAGCACCAACAAAATATAGAATAACAGAATGCATGTAATATTCTCTATCTGCCCATGTAGTAGTAACACCAAGAAATCACACTTACCAAGTATTGACACTTTACTAAGAAACTCTTCATACATTTTTCTCTTCCTCAGTGTGCTACCCTGGAAGTTGGGAAAGAAAATACACCTGAAAATCAGTATTATCTCTATTTTGCTGTTTTAGGAAGCCAGAATACTCTCCTGTCATGAGCATATTAAGGTCACAAATAGTTCTGAGTTCTTGGTTTGTTAGTTCCTGATTGAATGCTTGTACAATAAATAATAGTTTAAAAGAATATTATTTAGAGACCCAGAAGAGCAAAAAGGTGACTTATATTTTTTTTAAAAATAAATGAACATAATATGCCATGCAGAGTCCTACACTAAGTATCTATATGGCATATTCGGTCCATTTATTTTTTTAAAAAATCAGTTTCATGTGCATCCATTTAGATGTCAGTGCACTAAACTTGTTGCAAAAAGTTTTTGGCCTTTAAGAGGGTTTTTTAATGTATAATACAAAAACAAAAGCTGCCTTGGGACTTAGATATCTGATCCAATATTCACATGAATTATATTCTGTTCACAGCATTTAATAGTGTGCTGTTATGGGCACGGCTCTCTACATAGTGTAGAGAGAAATATTTTCACTGATTGCTTTTTTTCTTGCACTCTCTAGCCATCATGAGACAAAACAAATTAATTATAAGAAAGAGCCTCTTATGTATTTCAATCAATTTAGTTTACAGTTGAAAAAACTGAATTTTATTAAAATGCTGATGATTGGAGTTTCATTGCCTTCCCATTTAAAGTGGGATTTAAGATTTTGAAGTGCAAATAAATTAAATGGCACATTAAAAATGAAAAACTAAACTTGCCCATCTTAAATGAGATTTATGAGGTCAGGTTAGAGCATTACTGAGAACTCTGTAAAACAGTACTCATTCAATATCATATTTAATAATACGGCTCAAGACTTCTAAGAAAACTGTTATGTCTGTAATTCACTTTTAACATTTACAATGCAGCAAGGGTGAATTTCAGAAACTGAGCTGTCAAGTCATTCATTTTCATTGATGAAAACAATAAATATGTTTGACTGGGATTTAGCAAGCTAAAATTGTATAAGTCCCACCGCAAGAGTGGAAATTAAAGAACTGTGCCTCATTTTCGTATCACTTAGTATAAACAACCAATTTGTGACATCTTAATCATGAAGTAAGCACAGACATGATGTATTAAACTGATCACTAATATAAACATCCAATATCCATTTTGTGAAAGGCTACATTCAGATGAAATTATCACTACTCAGCTGTTCTTCCTATCAGTTCATTATAATTCTACTATTTACTGATATGCTTCCCCAAATACAGTATGCTATAAATGCATTGTTTCTTTCAAGACACTGAAATACTTACCATAAGAATTCTTCTATAGCTATCTCGATCTATACCCCACAGTTTCACGTTGGTTTTTGCTTTGACAGTTGCTGCTCGGGGTGTCCCATAGATCAGTGCAAGTTCTCCAAAGCTGCCCCCCTCTCCAACACTGGTGGCCCATTCACTGTTCACATAAACCTGGAGGAGGAATATATAGACATTTATTTCAAAATATATTTTCTTTTGGTTTTGATATGTACTTTGTTAATTCTAGCTTTTTTTAAAAAATAAAATCTTTTTACATTCTGTTTTAAATTTTGTTAACAGCATCGAGGCCTTTCCAGAACAGAATGAAATCAAACAAATAACATCTTAATAATTTCTCATGTGTTCATAATATGCAAATGCCGAGAGACTGCTCCTGTTTGGAAAAATGTTTAAGGATTATTTGCATGATAAAAGGGTTCACTCTATTTACCCCAATTATTTACCCCAATTTACCTAGGGTGCAAGTTACTTTTCATTAATTACGTGCCATCAAGTAATTGTTGACTCTCAAGTGACTGCATAGAGGATGATCTGTCTTCAACCTGATCCCTCACATCTTTCAATGATAAACCCACTGGCGTTCAATCCATCCACTTTGCTACTAGTCACCCTATTCTTCTTTTTCTATCTTCATTTCACAGCATTAAAAACTTCTCCACAGAGCTAGGATGTCACAAAATGTATCCAAAATGTGGTAATATGAGCCTGGCCATTGTGCTTTGACTGAGAACTCTGGAACAATTAATCCTATGGTCCATTTATTTATTTTTGGCTGCCCAAGATATTCTCTAAAGGATCTTCTCCAACACCAAGGTTCAAGAGATCAATACTCTTTCTATGCTGCCTTTTCAAAGGTATTACTAAGATATATATTTTTTTACACTTATAGACTGCTCCAATCTGAATGGCTTTAGCTGTATACACGTAGTCCTTGACCAGGGGTGTCAAACTGGCGGCCTGTGGGCCGGATGCATCACATGCACGCCAACACCCACCCCAGCTCTGCAAATGGGGAAAACGTCATGAAACATCTCATGATGGCAATATGACATGGTGAGTTTGATACCCATGTACTTGACTTATAACCACAACTGAGCTCAAAATTTCTGTTCCTAAGCAAGGCAGTTAAGTGAGTTTTGTCCAATTTTACGATCTTTTCTGCCACAGTTGTTAAACTAATCACTGCAGTTATTAAATGAATCATACCATAATTAAGCGAATCTGGCTCCCCCCATTTACTCTGTAGTCAGAAGCTGGCTGGGAAGGTTACACATGGTGATCACATGACCCCAGGACAGGACAACTTCATAAATACATGCCAATGGCCAAGAACTCAAATTTTGATCATGTGACCATGGAGATGCTGTAATGGTCATAAGTTTGAAAACTGATCATAAGTCACTTTTTCTAGTGCCATTGTAATTTCAAACAGTTACTAAATGAATAGTTTTAAGTCGAGGACAACCTGTATTTGAGCAATCCAAACAGTGAACAATTCCATATCTTTAAAACAATCCATTCAATAGATACACAGGGCTATGACAAAACTATAAAATCAGATACGTGCCAATGTAGGGCCCAGGTTCTGCTGAAATAAAATCATTTTGAGAAAGTTCTTGAGCATAAGGATGGGAGTGAATCAAGCTTCCAGGAGGGAGCATTGTGCGATACTGTGGGAGTTACTACTGAAGAGGCCAGTCTCCTGGATCAAGTCCCCTTGTATCTCCTATAGGACGGGGAAACCCAGGCCAAGCTCTTTACATTGAAACTAAATTTATTAAATTTGTATGCCACCCAATTTGCAATGATTTTGATAGTTATTGTTCATACTTTTCATTCCTGATTACTTAAAGTACCAGGAAAATATGCTACAATTATTATTTGGAATTAATAATGAAAACTTCTTTATCAGTTTATCACTACGTAATGATTTTATAAGCCATGATTAAAATAAACCGCTTAACACAGTTAAACACCAACCAATATCTTAATTTAGTCTCAACAGTAGCCTGTGCTCTATCAGAAAATATCAGAAAATGCATGACTAAAGTAAGTTTAGAGAAAGGCCACAATAGAGGGTCAAATCCCAACTGGGTATTTGCATTGTATTTAGTAATCATGACCATCTTTAATATTACCATACACATATTAAAAGTATGCAACAACACTAGATCAATATATTTAAGGAAGGGGGAAAAAACTTACATCCATTTCTCCTTGATCAACAACATAGAAGTTATCTCCTTCATCACCTTAAGAAAGAAAAGAACAGTATGTAAAATAACTTTCCTAATCATTAGAGATGTGCCTTTTAATTTTAGCATCAACAGAACTTTTTAGATCGAATATCAATCAACATAATACGTACAATTACAATTTTATATTTAGCATAATTTTACAATATTCAGTATTTCTTTCAGTTCTTGGTGCAAATTTATGCAAATTAGACTTTGTATTCCATGTCTAACTATTAATAAAAAAGATGGAGCTATTCAGCTATGATTGGATAGTTAAGGACCAACCAGCTTACCTCAAGTGAATGTAAAAGCTTCTGCAAAAACCAATGCTGGCTGCTATTTGTTTTTAAGATTTGTATCCTTAATCCTAACCAATTTATCAAAGCATTACCAAGAAAAAATAAATAATAACTTACATCAGAAGAAACCCCTAATATATTGCATAGTGAATACTGGTAGTCCTCAATTTACAACCATAGTTGAGCCCAAAATTTCCTGTTACTCACTGAAACAGTTAAATGAGTTCTGTCCCATTTTATGCCCTTTCTTGCCATGGTTGATAAGTGAATCTGACTTCTCCACTGACTTTGCTCATCAAAAAGTTGCAAGAGGTGATCATATGATACAGGGACACTGCTATCGTCATAAATATGAATCAGTTGTCAAGTGTCTGAAGTTTGATTATATGACCATGGAGACGCTGCAACGGTTGTAAGTGTGAAAAGGGATTATAAATCACTTTTTTTCAGGGCCGTTGTAACTCCGAATTATCACTAAACCAACTGTTGTAAGTCGAAAACTATCTGTAATATATTTAGAACATCTTTCTATATCAAGTCCTATGTCATAAAAAAACAAAGTGTTACGTAAAACCTTAGAAGTTAAATGAATTCCAATCAAAAAAATAAATCACATACCTTGCTGTATCACAGTCTCACCAGCAATATAAGTGACTGGAAACATCGCATCAAATATATCACTGAAAGAGAATATAGATTTACTCAGCATAAAAGGAAAAAGTGGAACACATTTATGCTAATATTGTTAATTAAGACTAAGTCATCAGAAAGAATGGATTTTGTAAGTATTCTATATTTGATCTTTTTTTTTTCAATTGACATTCACTTGCTGAAATGAGGTGTTATTTCCTACCTCATTCCATTTTCATAATGGAATCTGTAACAATGTGAACAGTCCACTGTTTCCTATTTTTCAATTCTAAGACAATTATAATGAATACCATTTTTAAAATACAACTAAAAATTGGCTTTGCCAAAAAAAATCCTGCTTGATTAGTTAGAGGAAGACTCAGTATTAAAAATATCCATGCAGCCTTGTATGGGTAACAGCTTAGTTTGAGTAAATTAAAGAGCACTTCTACATGTTTTATAACACAGATATGATTATTACTCCCTACATGTGGTACAAGGAAGAAGGTATAAATTATTATAAAATAATCCCAAACTTAAATTCATAAAACAAAGTTTATCTGAGTTGAAAACTAATTTGAGAGTAGTAATTATGCCAAACAAAAGACAATGATAGATTTTTCTTCTTTAATCTTACAATTCACCTTTAGTTATGTTTCTAGTCTTGCCTAGGAAGTAAAAAAAGTAGATTGCAAACACTGGGAGTGACATGAGGTTACTATAATACTCTATGAAATACATAGTCTAGGAGGAATATTCCATAGACACAACCTCCTGAGGATGCAAAAGCAAATTCTTATGAGATTTTCTAATATATATATTGGAATATTGGTATATATATTATATATATAAAAGACACTGTGGTTAAGGCAGTGTATCTATATACTTTGAAGGCTATAATTGAAAATCAAGCAGATAATCTGCTCATTTAAGAGAATAATTAATTCTATTAAAATTAAATTAAAATAACTTAGAACCAGTGACTGCAGCTTGAAGATTCCAGAGTTTGCCAGATCCACATTTTTTTTTTATTTTGGACTGACAAAACTTTGAGCAGGCAAGCCGTCATTCTATTTTGTATGCAGCAGTCTCAAAGCCTGCTGCATTCAAAACAGAACAGTAGTTCTGATGCAGCACAGTCTGTTTGAGCTGCATACAGAGCAATCCACACTTTCCATTCAATGTACATCTGTCAATATAGAATGAGTCAAATCCAAGTTCAATTTCAGGCATATGTTAACAATTGAAATTGAGATCCTTGCCTTTACCTTTAAAAAACTATCTTTCAGGCAAAAACCAATGAGGAGTATACAGTTAGAAACTTTAATTACCACCTTTAAATATTTTAAGTAATTAATTCTAAAAGCTATACATTGGGTTTCATCTAAGTTGAGTTTCATATAAGATTCACATAAGAATTTTTGCCGCAAAAAAAAAAAAATGAAATCAGCTGGGAAACCTTAGTTCAAAGTTAAATTTTAAAAAGCCCCAAAATCCAATGGAAAATAATCCTTGATATTCAGTCTCTAGTTTGATTTAAATGAAGAGACCCTACCTTCTTTCATTGTCATCAAGATGAGCAAAGAGCACATTCTTCTCTATGGCTTTCGCCAAGGCAGCCATAGTTTTATAATCCTTTGGAATAACCTGCAATATGGAAGATACCCACAAAGTTTTAGCTGAAGGCAGTTTAAATGATTTATCATTCATCCCTGAATTCCAGCTTTTTTTTATTTGACACAATCATATACCATTTTTCTGAAGAGGTAAGTTTAATCTAACATGATATACTTATTAATTTGAAAGAAAAAAATACAAATCATCAAATGTATTGCTTTGCCAACATTCTGAATACAAATTCAGAAAAAAAATTAAATGAGTGTTATTCTTCCCAAAGAATAGCAGATCTATTCATTTACAGAAAAATATAGAAGTCTGAAAATACAGAAAAAAATGTTTGCCATTTGCTGTATTAACTATAGTGTATTAGAATCCATCTCCTGAACATCCAGATAATTTAAAACATGTTGATTTTGCTGGCAAGATAAAATAATAAAGCAACAAAACTTTTGACTTACTCGTCCCTCTTGCTGGCATAATGGCACCAAGAAATAAGTCAACATTTTAATGATTTTCTCATAATTCAGGTTCTTAAAAAACAGGCTTTGAATAAACTATACAAAAGCCATATAGATCATACAGATGGTATCACAGGAGAGCTAACATCAGAAAAATGTGAGATGAAATCATACAACAGAATCAGTCTGACTTCTCCAAACGGGTTCCAGTGGCCAAGCATGGAAAAAATAATATACAAGTCATGAAGTAAGGCTTATATGAAGTAACAATTTGAAGCAACACCTTTCTAACATAAGAGGCAGCATCCTCTTCAGTGTAAACCTCTGCACTAATGGCACCACGCCTTCTGCGACCTTTAACCACTGGGTTCATCGGTGGTGGTGGAGAAATTTCATCTTCACGGGAATCTGTGCGAGAGCTGGCTTTCTGCTGACTGATAAACTGCTTTGTTTCTTCCTAGAAGGAAACAGAAATTTAAGCCATATAGACATTATAGTTTATTTCTTCTTTCTTAATTGTTTTACTAAACTCATACACAGTGACACATATACAAACTATATGGTTGAAACTGGATCACATACTTATTAGAAACCAAAATTCATTTTTGTCAACTATCTTGCACTTAGAATTGCCTAAAGTTATTACTGATTCTTAGCAGAAGTCATTTTAAGCTGCCAAGTACATATGAATACTTGAACTGAATTAAATTACTGAATCAATAAGGTGACATAGGCTTTGATACAATCAGGTTGCATATTGTATTAAACTTTAAAAAGGGAAGAGATACTTTTACACTTCTGCAAGTTTAGAGCAATCTGCATTACCCTTCTTTGTTTTAGAAAAAAGAGAGGCAATTTATAAATCCTGAAGCCCGAATGATATGAAAAATCTTATCATTACCTGCTAGAGTAATTTTTAAAACATAATGCTGAAATTCTTATCTAGCAGTTTGCATAAATTGACAAGTAGATTCTGCTCAATGGTTTTGTAACTTTTAAAATAAAAATAATTTAACATTATTTTAATTAATCAATTTTAATTACGATCATTTTAAAATCATAAAAATGTAACTTTTTGTGAATTAAAATGTTATATATTACATATGACAACAGAAAAAAGACAATTAGCAACTTACATATGTAAAACAACATAAATTTATGAAATTTGCTGGTTCAACAGTGAATGTCTCTTTTTGGAATACATTTTTTTTTTTAATTTGATTTATATGCCGCTCTTCTCCGGAGACTCAGGGCGGCTTACAATGCATTAAGCAATAGCCTTCATACTTTTGTATATTTATACAAAATCAGCTTATTGCCCCCACAAACTGGGTCCTCAATTTACCCACCTTAGAAAGGATGGAAGGCTGAGTCGACCTTGAGCCTGGTGAGAATTGAACTCGCAGTAATTGCAGGCAGCTGGATGTTAAATGCTGCCTTAGGAGGCATTAGCCTCCTACGCCACTCAGGCTCCTATCCTATAAGTAATTTATTAGACAAGCAATACAACTAGCAATTCAGTTCTTGTGTTGTGTAGTGTAGTGTAGAGGCTGTTTTAGTAAGCAACATTTTAAGAATTAAGATGGGTTAATTCTCTCATGATGGAGAATAACAATGAAAAATGTGCAAGAATGTATCATAGCTATGCACATGACCAGGATTTTCTTTTAGATCATGGGTAGATTTGAGAGTGAAATCTCAATCGGGGGAAATATTCATTATTCATAGCAATCCATTGAAGTAGATACTCTATTATTACAACAATTTACATAATTGTCATACATGCAAATTATGTCATTAATGACTATCATTATGCAATCTATGCTAAATTATGCAAATCACTATGGAAATTTGGGACACTGCTTATAAAGCTATTGCATCGTACTATTTATACTTGAAACCCGATTTTGATGAAAATAAAAAATATATAATTTTTAATATTTTATTAAACATAAGACCAATATAGTTTTAAAATAAACACACTTGCCTTAAGTATCAGTCCCTATTCAAAGGGCTCCTGCTAAAAAAAATCAACTAAAAAATCAGTACATTAATCTATCGGTTTTATACAGTGCACTTCAAAACATTAAATTACAATGAAAAATTTCATATGTAAGAAACTTCTGTTGGATCTAGAAACAAGAATTTTACTGGCTGTCTCTTCTTCCCATGACAACACCCTGTAGAAATCAATTCCACTCTTTGTGGACCAAAGAGTCCTATGACCTGACACAAATGGGCACTAGAGGATAAGTAAATAGAAGAATTCAGAGATTCATGCTAGTGTCCAGTGAGATAGTCCTTTTGGCTGGCACAAGACATTTCTGAATCCAAGCCAGGAACTTAAAAGCTCACACAATCACTTGACTGCTTTTAGAAAACTGCATAATTCAATGTTTGGATCAAGCCAAATTCAAAGCTGCATGGATCACAAGAGTCTTACCTATCAAAGTAATGTTTATGTATCCATCCTTAAAGGGTAAATTAAAAGTACTTATAATTATCAATACATGTGCAAAGTGACTCTTCTACACAAAACAAAACATAGGTTTTCTAATATTATGTCCCAAGAGAATTAAATGTATTAATCTAACAATTCAGAGTGACTGCAGAAAACGCTAAATATTGGTCTTGTGATATGCCTTTAGATAATCAGCTGCCATGCCATGAATGTTGCTGACCTTCTCTCCTTCCACAGAATGTTGACATAGAGATAGGAGAAGCTGTTACTGACACAGCAGTCAAAGAACAAGAAGAAAGTATTACTGTAGCCATGTTGTGCAGTAAACACAATTTATGTATTTGGATCTTTTTGAATGTGTATAAAATGGTTGCAGGTATGCAAAATGTTTAGCCAAACAGGATATAGATTTAACTGTACTTGCATGCATGTTAAAGTAGATTAGCTGTAACACTGGACTTTTTGTGTACTTTAGCATCTTGTGTAAACTCAGCCCACTTCGTTAATTAGTTCTATTTATGGCCTGTGTCCCCAAAATAGTTAATTCTGATTGGCAGGTTCCATGAATAGACACTCAATATGTTCAAACAAGTTCTGGCTAAAGTGAAGATCATATTTTATAAAGCATGTCAAAACCAGATTCTAGGATTATAAGAATAACATTATATGAAAACAATACCATATTTCTACGACAAATCTTATGGAGTTGAAGCGTCTTTTCTTAGCAACATATTAACATAAATTTTGCTTGTTGTCCATCTACAATTCGGACATGCTGGCTGCATTCATGTTAAATCATAATGTAGTTTGTTCTGGATTATTGTTTTGTGTGAAACAGCCTGGTTTTTTTTGTAAACAATGTTTATGCCTTAACATCATTTACCAATTCTTTCACACAATATGATAAGCCAAATCATGATTTGGGGTTGACATGCTGTGTGCATCCCCTTGCTGAGTTTGTAATCCATGTTTTAAGGCTTACTATGAAGTCTGAAGCTAGCTATTTTGATTTCTTCAGCCTTGCCAAACAAACCCAATGAAGACAGCGTAAGATTCAACAACATGAATGAAAGAATCTTCACACCCATTAAATAACATGGCACCAACCTCATGTATATTTATTTGTATGCAAGGCTTATAGTTTACTCCAATCAAAACTGACTCTCAGTAGCATGCAAATCCCCCTTTGATGGGACAGCATTGACTTCTCATTTACCAAACTTCTCATTTACCAAAAAATAGTACAGGTGGACAGAACAATTGTAATCCTAATTTCTAAAAATGTATGCACCATAGAATACACAGATACTGTGCAATCAAAGTTTTTCTGCCTGTCAATGATAATAAGTAATAAGTTTTCTATCTTCTAATGATTCTTTTCATTTTGGACCATAATGTGCTTTTCATAGACCTTTCTGTCCAGTTTGAAAATTGATGTTAAACTTGATTTTAAGAATATATTTAGTTTTTGTTTCTATGTGTGAAAAGCAAAAAACTAAAATATTCTAAATAAAAATCTCTTGAACCAAAGAGAGTTACTATGAATATTTTAAAAATCCAGAATTTTACACAAAAGGATCTGTCTCTGCATTTTCCTCAAAGTCTAGTCTTAATCATGTTTCAGAGAACTAAATAATGATGTACTTTTTTGAAAAGTTGATGTGCTCCAGGTCAAGCATAGGATTATTATTTTGAGAGTGTTTTTCTTATTTTCTTTTATGAAATTTAGTTTATACCTTTTCCAATCTTTCAAAGTATTCCCGGAGGAAGCCCATAGGTCTCTCAGGTCGCACTGTACAAAGCTGGACAATGCAATCTTTCAGGAGTTGCTGGATGTTATGTTTTTGGACGTAGTGCTCACATTCACGGAGGCTACGTTCTTCTTCACTGCTGCTACTGCTAGAAGCTGCCATTGCTGGTATCTGAAAGAAAACATATTTGAAACTCTAGCTTCCATTGCAATCTTAGTGTAGTAGTAGTGTACACTAGGTATATTAGACTTATGTCTCTCAGCAAACATAGCAGTTGAACATTAACGTATTTGCAGACATAGTACTTGGTTATAATGTGAGGTGGGGGGGCAGGGGATCAGAAAAAAAAAATTAAAGCATAATTCAACCAAAACCCTTGTTCAATTATCCTAGGAATATCAGAAGCTAAACTGCTTCCAATAATGAACATGATGGTAACATAATAAGATAAATGAAAATAAATGATTTTACTAATGATAGCTCTCAAGAAAAATATTGATTGGAAAGAAAGCTGCCATAATTAAATTAAAATATTCATTAGTGGATTTTTAAAAAAATAATTATGGAAATAAAGAGTTTATTTCGGATTATCACTACTTACTTGAGATGAAGTCAACAGCAACTACAGGTATGCACAGAATTTGCAGGAGACTGTTAATCCCAGTATCACCTTTCAAAACGGAAGTAAGAAAGTGAATAGTTGGAACACCCTATTAATACATGCTTTCCTATGTGACATATTTAGATACATGGCTATATTCTTAGAGTTCTAAACATATGCCTTGGATTACCATTGCTGAGGATAATTTGCCGATTAAATAAAAAATGAAGATGCTGAATAATCAATATCCCCTTCAAAACACTGTATGTGTGTCAATTCTTGCAGAGTTTAAACATTACAGCAAACTTTTTTCTGATGGAACAGCACACATATAATTAGATGGCATTTACAATCATATTGCCTTAAATTCTATAGTATCAGCTGGCTCTTCTGTTTTGACAACTTGCATAATAAAGGTCAGTAACACACAGCTTAATTAAATGTCCAAGAATTACTCTGTGGCTCTGTAACAGCTTGCAAATTAGTCTGTGGAAAAAACATTCACACTGTTGACAGTAGCAGCAGACAACAGTGCAAAAACCAGACAGAAACTTTTTTCTCAAATATTTTATGAGGTATGCCAAATAGAAGTCATTCCATTTTTAAGTAGAATTTACCTTAAGAACAATGGCAATGTATTTTTACACATAGCTATCAAGTGAAAATTCAATTCTATAAACACCTTTATGTTGCCATCAGTATTTGCAATGTGAAGAAAATGGATTCAAAGTAAAACCTGTCTAAATTCATTGCAATTAAAGTCTGCTTTCAGACAAAGAAAATATATTTGCTACCTACATGAATCATTAGAGATAAAAAAATATGAAGAAAAATCTAATCTATGAAAAGATTCTAAATGAGTGACAAAAAGAATTCTCCATCTTATTGAAATAATGCTGCATACCTGAAGAACAGACTATTACAAGACCCTAATAACAATCTGAATCAATTTAACATATTTCAAGGTAATTCCCTATAATTCTCCCAAGGGGGAAAAAAAAGCAACTGGGAGTTACAAAATGTGTTCTTTCTGTTAAAAAGTAACTGTTCATTCACCAGGACAGGAAAACTAAGATATTCAAGAGACCATAAATTATAGGCTATTTTAAACTTAGCAGTTTTTATCTATGAGAACAGTATCTCTCATTTTAACCAAGGACTAGTCATTAAAGTCCTGATACCCTTATGAGCTTTAGTCCATTTCTATCAGGAGGAAACAAAATATTGACACAATCATCTGGAGGATGTCATGATTTTTACTATCCACACCCAGAGGAAAGCACCTTATATAATATGAGGCAAGTTGCAGCAACTCTCTGGGTATGATCGATCTACTGATTTTTCTATACAGAAACTTAGGAGTGCAAATATAGCCCAACATGAAGCATTCTGGACAAGACCCAACAAACAGTGCCATTAAAGCATGTAAAATCAATCTAAACTACCGGTGACTACATGGACACATCCACCATGTTTTGACAACACTACTGAAGTGGTTTGGCATTCTTTACTTCTGGGCTGTGTGGTGTTTTTTTTCCCTTCCCATCCTGCTTGCTTAGATTTCCTGAGATCGGAGCAATCAACCATTAACCATGGTCTGCAACCACACTAAAGCAAGTGGTAAACTATGTAGCCAACTGCTAAGGGTTTGCTTTCCATACAATATGGGCTTGGAGATGTCCTAAAACAAATCAAAACATTGGAGACAGCAATCCAAGCATTAGTTCACTCCATCTCTTAACCAAACCACCAACACTACATTTTAAAAAAACCCAACAAACACAGACAAGGCTTAATAAATTAATAAATTCTGTTCCCAATACAATCCTACCTTTTTAGGTAAATACAAAATTTGTCCCCGAATGGAAGGCCCGAGTGGCTTATTTTAAAATAATAATAAAATATAATAATAATAATAATAATAATAATAATAATAATAATAATAATAATAGATGTTCACCTCAAATAATCTATCAGTTAAGTGTCCCTCAGGACTTTGCCTCAAGGGTTACCAGCAAAATAAATAAATAAATAAATAAAATCCCCAGCCAGCCGCTACTTCAAAGCAGGACTTCGTCCCCAATTCCTTCTGGCTTTCTGCCTACGCGGCGACATCTCCCGGGAGCCGCGCTGATGCTCCCTCCGCTTCCCACGGCGCTCCTCTCGTGCAGAGGCGACGCTTGTTTTCAACCGGTCCCCTCCCCCTCCAAAAAGCCAGCCACGGCGCGGTACCCGCCGGCCCCATGCCCCGCCCCCGCCCCCCCAACACCCCACCCCCGCCGGAGTACTTTGCAGCGTCCCCCCGCCCGAGCCCCTAACCTCGTCCCCTCAACGGTCCTCCTCCGCCTCGCCGCTCGACGGTTTCCACTGAGGCGAGAATGGAGTCAACGGAGGCCTGGCGTCTCCCGGATCAAAAGCCGCCTCAGCGCCTCTCATACCGGGCCTCGCTGCACCCCTACGCGCCTGCGTGGGCCCCCTACCTCACCCCCCTCGGGAGAGACTCGAGGCCCGGCTCTGACTTACCCCGGGTCCGAGCGGCGACTCCCTGCTTGGGCCTCTCCGCGATGGTCGACCCCCCTCCTCCTCCTCCTGTCCCGATTTGCGGCCTCCTTCTCTTTCTCGGCAATCGCTCCCACCGGAAACCCAGCTCTCTCCGCCAATCACCGCCCAGCGTGACGTCAATGAGCCTCGTTCTCACTTGCCGAACCGTCCCCGTGGCAACCTTAAAGGGGACGGCGCCACGTTCCGTCCGCCTCTCCTTCCCCCGCTATACAGTAGCAGAAGCCAGAGAGAGAAGAGGAGGAGGTGGTGGTGGAGGGGGCAGGAGCGCCGCTGCGCGCAATTGCTGGCTTTTCCTTTAATTCCCGCTGACGTCAGACTGCGGGTTGAAACGGCACCGTCGCCCTCCCCGTTCCCCGAGCGGGAAGCACGGAGTGATGTGGGGCGGGGGGGTGGGGGAGGGACGGAGGGAGATGTTCCTTAGGAAGGGAGACCGAAGGCGTCCATACGATGCCGGAGCCTCGGATTCGATCTTGCAGCGGTTGTGCAAAGTGTGCATCAGTCTAAAGTGTGGCATAAATGGGGCTGCCCGTTGCTTGCTGGCCATCTGCTGCAGCGAAAGCGGGAGGGTTTGTCTCGAAATGTAAATTGCATTTCTAAACTTTTGAGGTAATCCTGTCAAACTTGGTGGCACTCGCCTTTCGACCTGGCAGGAAAAAAAATATGAGACTCCTGCAGACTCGTGCATTGTGATTTCTCTGACTCCCGGTAGCTAGGCAAACTGTCAGTTGTTGCGGAACTGCTACTTCCAGAAGCCCTCTCTCATCATCATCATCATCATCATCATCATCATCATCATCATCATCATCATCATCGGGGCTGCTGGGAGTTTGTAGGGAATTTTACAGAGGAGACTCTATCCTTGGACGTGGCTGGAGCGTTCTCGGAGACGCGATACATTCAAAGGGTTAAAAAGCTGTGGGTTTGTGTCTCAGAGCTCTTCTGCATGTGGCTCTCTTCTGCTTGGATGCAAGCCGGTGTATTTTGAACTACGGCAATCCCTCCTTGCAAAATAGAAATGCAATTTAAAAAGCTAAATTGCAGGGCATTTAAAATGGGCTGGGCTTCTGTTTATATTATGCTGCTGCTTGGTAAACATCAAGTGTCGCAAGATACTTATTGAAGACAATTATGTATTATTTGCTACCGGGTTTGTATGACACTTTAGAATAGAATAGAATAACAGAGTTGGAAGGGACCTTAGAGGTCTTCTAGTCCAACCCCCTGCTTAGGCAGGAAACCCTATACCACTATGTCACATCAAAATACTATCAATGTATAAGGAATTATTGAAAGCCCAAGTTAATGTTGAAGTGCATGGCATAAATAAAAGTGTTGTGTATGTAGATTTTGGGCGGGCAGTTTGAATTAACTGACCGTTAGGTGATTGGCTGACCACCACAGCTGCAAGGTGTATAAAGGGAGCTGTTTCCCCTGGTCTGTCACCGGTTCTCACCATACAATAAAGAGCTGTTGTCACTCACTGCCTGGCTTGCTGTGTCCTCATTCACCCAACTTAACATTGGCGATGAGGATGGGATCTTGAGGCCAGAAGCCACAGAAAGAGGTGAAGCCACGAGCCGACAAGAGAGCTGCAAACCCGAATCTAGCCAGACGAGCGAGCAGAGCACTTGGAGAATCTACTGAAGATGTCTACCTATGTGCCGCCAGCACCTTTCAACTCCATGGAAGAGAAGTGGGGATCCTACATGTCCCACTTCAAATGCTTCCTGGTGACCAGCGACCAACAGGGGCTGCCCGATGTATGGAAGAAAGCCCTGTTCCTGAGCCATTGTGGAGCCAAGGTGTTCGATATGGCCGAGGCCCTGTCGGAGCCAAATTCGGTCCACACCATATTGTGGCAGACGCTTCAGACACTGCTGAAGGACCACTATGCCCCAACGCCATCAAAGTACATCCAATGGTTCGACTTCCGGCAACAGCTGCAGCAGGAGGGAGAGTCAATCAGCGAGTACATCACTGCCCTGCGTAAGGCCGCAAACTAGTGCGAGTACAGAGACCTCGATGAGATGCTGCTAGAGCAACTAATCTGTGGAGTGAGAGATATTCGCTTGCAGAGGAGGTTGCTCACAAAGACAAACCTCACACTACACATCGCACTGGACGAGGCGAGGGCTCAAGAATCCTCATCCAAGGCAGCCGAGAGACTACAGGGGACGACGCAGAGCAGAACGGCACAGAAGTCAGCCCCGGTTCACCAGGAAACCATGGGAACGGGGAGCGAGGGAGAGTCAGACGAAGAAGTCTACAGGACCGAACAGTACCAGCAGAACCGGCGAGGTCAGCGAGATGCCTGTGCGAGTTGTGGGGGACCTCATCCGCACCAGACCTGCAAGTTCCGGGACGCCATTTGCCGGCAATGCGAGCGGAAGGGGCACATCGCCAGAGTTTGCAGAGCCAAGCAAAACCACCACCACAAGCCGTGGAGCAACACTAGCCAATCAGAGACGGCGCAGCGAGTGAGAACCAATCCGAAGGGTGGCTACCAGAAAAGTGCAAAATCTGAGGATCTTGAGGCCTGCACCATCTGAATCGGCCAGACCTGCACATCCCCCGGGGAGAAGACCTACACGACGGTCGGCATCGAGGAGGAGAAGTGTGTAATGGAGATCGACACCGGATCCCCCATTATCATCATGTCCTGGGACAAGCTAAAGAAGGCCGTCTCCAGTATCCAGAGACGGCAAATACGGCACCAGCGGCTGGGACTGCGCGATTACCAGGGTAACCGCATCCCCATGGAAGGAATCAGCGAGTTCCAGGTGGAGTACGGGGAATTCCGGGAGAAGCTTCCCCTCACCGTCGTCAGCAGAAAGCTCCCAAGCCTCCTGGGCATGGACTGGTTCAGAGCCCTGGGCATGGGATTCACCGGAGTCCGCAATGTGCAAAGCACCCTGAAGGACGACCTCATGCACGAGTTCCAGGACGTGTTCGACGAGCGGCTCGGCAAGTATGTGTGGACCCCTATTTCATTCAACCTCGACCCCAATATTGCCCCCATCCGGCTGAAACCAAGGAGGGTACCTTTCGCTCTGAAGCCCAAGATCGATGTGGAATTGGACAAATTGATAAAGCAGGAGGTGTTAGTGCCAGTCGATCATGCTCGATGGGCGACCCCAATTCTGACCCCCATTAAGCCGGACGGGTCTGTGCGCATCTGCGCTGACTACAAATGTACGATCAACAAGGCCCTGCAGCAGAGTGCCTATCCAGTCCCAATCGTACATCACCTTCTGCATTCCCTAGGGCCAGGCAAGATCTTTGCGAAACTCGATCTTGCGCAGGCGTACCAGCAGCTGCTGGTAGATGGTGCTACCGCAGAGGCACAAACTATAGTAACGCATAGAGGTGCCTTCAAGTGCACCAGACTCCAATTCGGAGTCAGCATAGCTTCAGGACTATTCCAGAGCACCATGGAGCAACTGTTACAGGGGATCCCCGGGGTGGTCCCATATTTTGATGACGTGCTCATCACCGCAGAAGACGAACAGCACCTAGGGGAGAGGCTGAGACAAGTCCTAGCGAAGTTCAGGAGTGCAGGACTCAGGGTCAAACGCAACAAGTGCATGATTGCAGTCCCTTCTGTGGAGTTCTTGGGGTGCCGGGAAGATGGAACCGGCATACACCCCACCGAAAGCAAGATTAGGGCAATCAGAGAGCCTCCCACCCCCAAAGATAAGGTGGAACTACAAGCGTTCCTGGGACTATTGAACTTTTACACAATTTTTCTAAGGGACAAGGCAACAGTAGCAGAGCCCCTGCACAGACTGTTGGCCAAAAAGTCCAAATGGGTTTGGGGAAAGGCTGAAGCTACAGCGTTTGCGGCTGTAAAGAAACTTCTGTTGGCCGAGAGTTTCCTAATCCAGTACAATTCTACACTTCCCTTAGTGCTAGTCTGTGACGCATCCCCTTTCGGCGTGGGGGCTGTCCTGAGCCATAGACTACCAAGCGGTCTAGAGGCACCCATCGCCTACTACTCCCGGACTCTTTCAAGTGCCGAAGGAACTACAGCCAACTTGACAAAGAGGCCCTGGCAGCTGTCTCAGGAGTCAAGAAGTTCCACGAATACCTGTTCGGCAGAGACTTCGAACTCATCACAGACCATCGCCCCCTTCTGGGTCTCATCGCAGGAGACCGACCCACTCCAGCAGCCCTATCCCCCAGGATGACACGCTGGGCCATCTTCCTGGCAGCATACTCCTATCGCCTGGTACATCGACCAGGGGTGAGCATGTACAACGCCGACGCCCTCAGCCGTTGCCCGTTACCGGACAGGATAGAGGACCCCACACCCGGAGTTCCAGTCCTGCTGATTGACATCTTGGACTCGGGGCCCATCACTTCAGCGGAGGTCGCAAGAGCCTCAACCAGAGACCACGTGATTAGGAAAGTCACGAGTTGGGTCACGAGGGGGTGGCCGGAAAAGACTGAGGGCGGGGAAATCAAACATTTCGCTAACAAAAAGGGCGAGCTGACAATGCAAGGGGGTTGTCTTTTGTGGGGCGATCGGGTTATTGTTCCCTATTTTGAGGTCATAAATTCTTCACTATAAAACACGGATGTCAAGTTGCCATCAAGTGACATTTTGTGACATTTTTTCCCTTTGCCGAGCTGGGTTGGGCATGGCAAGTGATGCATCCGGCCTGCCAGTTTGACACCCCTGCATAGAATTACTGTGAACAAAAGGTAATTTGTGCTCTTTAACTGAAGTCAGAATTAGCTGTCAGAAGAAAATCTAAATCTTAGAAGCATCCCAAAGAAATTCAACTACAAGAGCAAGCGTATTCAGCCTTGGCAAATTTAAGGCCTGTGGACTTCAGCTTCCAGAATTCCCCAGCCAGCATAAATTCTCAAAACAGGTTACAGAATCCTCAAAACAAAATTATATTAGGACAGGTACATGACTCAAGTCCACCAAACATAGTTAGAAGAAGACTGATGCAAGATTAGTTGTCTTCCATCATTTTATTGATGAGGTTGAAAATAACATTATTTGATAGGTTGTTGTTTAGTGACGAAAGAACAGCACAGGTTAATTGTCATAATTGCTTTATTTGAGCCACACAGGAACCACATAGAGATTG